GAGGGTCGGGGGACTTAGTAAGTAGTTATAGGTATCGTAACCCTGATTAGGATCCCTTCTGGGGTACATATAAGTCTACTTACTACCTACTTACAAAGTCTCCCGACCCTCCAAGTACTAGCTAGATTCCACAACACGCAGCCAGGAGATCCCTCTGCAGCCAATGCTCCATATCACGATTTAGGGGTCTAGGATTTAAGGGTCAGGGTTTAAGGTTTAGGGGTTTAGGGTTTAGGGTTCAGGGTTTAGTGCAGTTAAAGTTTTAGGGGGTTAGGGGTTCGGGAGTTCAGGGTTGGGACGTCCTGGTCGTGTCTTTGTTGATGGTTTTTTTTCTGCCCTCAGGCCTGTTTTAGGGCTCAAGGCTTTGAGTTTACAGTTTCGGGTTTAGCCGGGCTCCCCTGAACCCTAAACCCTAAAACCCTGAACCCTAAACCCTAAATCCTATACCCTGAACCCTAAAACCTCAATCGTAAACCCTAAACCCTAAATCCTAAACCCTGAACCTGCAAAGTCTCTGAAGCTTCGAACCAGCCGGTTGCTCCTGAAGCTTGGGGCAAAAATTCCGACAGGATCGCACCTGAGGAAGACAAGAAAGCAACGGGGGTTTAGGTTTTAGGGCTTAGGGCTTAGGGCTTAGGGCTTAGGGCTTAGGGCTTAGGGCTCAGGGTTTAGGGTTTCGGGTTTAGGGTTTAAGGCTTAGGGCCTGGGGCTGATGGCTCAGGGCTTTGGGGTTGGTTCAATGCCTCCGCTCCTCTGCGGCTCGAAACTCGAAGCCCTTAGCCCCTACATTGGTCGTACGGCCCATGATATAAATCCTTAGCATTACCCCCAGAATAGGGTTTAGGGTTTAGGGATACTACTCCTGCATGACCCCATAAGAAGGAGTATACCGTAATTCCCACAGTTTGGGGTTCTCAAGAAGGTAATGCTCAGGATTTATATCATCAACGGTACGGCTTAGTTCTGTGGAGCCTAAGTCCAAGTCCAACGCTCACTACGACTTTGGCTTGATGGCCTGTGGCACGCCTCCGCCACTTTTGACAGCAGTTACCACCACCGTCTCAAGTGCACACTCCTGGGCGCGCCACTACCCACGACTCCCTGGAGAGGGTGACGAGGATCACCTCTGGCGACGATGCGGGCCCTCGGGTGTAGGAAAACACAAAAGCCCCTCAACCCCTAGGATAAAACCCTAAAGCCCTAAACCCTAAAACCCTAAAATCCTAAAACCCTAAAGACCTAAACCCTAAACGCCCTAAAACCCTAAAACCCTAAACCCTAAAAGCCCTAAGCTGTGGCTTCAAGACCGAGGCCTCAAAACCCCCGATGCACCCGTATGAAACCCTGGAAAAGCCCGAAACAAAAGCCCCGAAACCCCGCAGAACCCAGGCCCGCCAGGGTTCAGGGTTTAGGATTTTAGGGTTTGGGGTTTAGAGTTTAGGGTTTGGGGTTTGGGGTTTAGGGTTTAGTGCCTCAACCTGAGACTCTCTCCATCCCTCCACTCCCCCTCTCGCCCAAAACGCATGGCTGAGACAACTAAATCGCATGAATACAAACTCTGACTGGTGGGTTTTGCTGATTCTAAAGACCCGTAGGCCCGTAGACAAAGAGAGCCTTAATTTTCTGAAAGTTCGTTCATTAAAACAAACAGGGTGAAACAAAAAAAAAAACAAAAAAAAACCTCCGCTACAGAAGACTGTGGTTTTTATCCGTCGACACAGGAACCTCCGAATCTGCGAAGCCCGCCTTCCCCAGCGAGTTCGCCAGGGTTAGTAGCCGAATGGCCTTCGTGCACGTGAAAGTTAAGAGTGTAGAGTTCGCGGCACTGAGGGCGTATAGTAGGAATGAGCACAGGGCCCTAAACCCTAACCCTAAACCCTAAACCGCTAAGGGCTTAGCGTAGAGTTTGAGGGTTCAGGGTGTAGACTTCACGGCTGAGATTTTGTGATGCAGCGGGGGAGAGGGCTGTGAATGTAGGACTCGGGCTTCGGGGTTAGGAACCCGAAACCCTTAAACCCTAAACCCTAAACCCTAAACCCCTAAAACCCTAAACCCTAAACCCCTAAAACCACCTAAACCCTAAACCCCTAACCCCCAAACCCTAAACCTTAAACCCTAGCAAGATTTATAGGGGTCAGGAGTTCAGAGCTTTCGCGCATAGACTTTAGGGCTCAGCTCTCAGGGTTCCGGGGCCACCCTCCAAAAAGGGAGCCCTGTAGAACCTCTTATAGGAACCCTAAGCCCATACAGAACGGTTTAGCGGCTTAGGGTTTAGGGTTTAGGGCTTACGAGATACGAGAAAGAGCTCTAACTGCTAGGTACTGGAAACCCAGTGGCTGTGTCTGGATGCTCTGATTCTGATGAAACTGTACTTCCTTGCTGGATGATGGCTTAGGGCCTCTAACTGCTGGATTCGAGGTACTGGAACATGTTGAGCCTTAAATGCTGAACCCTTCCAGGCATGTCGGCACAACTTTGCTCCCGTGACTTGGGGCTTCCAGCTCCGGGGTCCCAAGGCATCACAGCTGCAGTTTAGGCACCCTAAGACCATAGCTCCGGGTTCACGGGTAAACAAAGCCAAACGCTATGCCGCTCGTCTGGGAAGCTTCGGACACATGAAGGCTGGAGCTTACGCTTGAGCTTGAGCAGTCCAGGGTGCCAATCAGGACCTGAACCCTAAACCCTAAACCCTAAACCCTAAACCCTGAACGCTGAACCCGGAAGTCAGGGAGAGCCGGCTGCTATTAGGGTACCTTATTTTGGGGTCCTTATAATAAGGATCCTACTATTTAAAATACGATATTAGGGTCCCCTATATTGGGCTTGCTGCAACATCCGTATTTTGCGGTTGTAGGGAGAAAGGCTGTCAGCCCAGGCATCATAGCCTGAAGTCCCTTAAACCCCTAACCCCGAATCCTAAAAAGTCCTTTAAACCCTTAACCCTAAACCAAACAAGTTCCTTAGACACCCAATCCTAACTCCTAAAACAACCGCGAGTCCAACGCTTCAGACCGGTTCAGATGAGAACGTCATCTCAGGCAGACTGGAGTGTCTCTAAAACCCTGAAAAAGCCCACGACTGCAGACCCCTTCTCGAACCGTAAGATTTAGGGTTTAGGGTTTAGGGTTCAGGGCCCGTATACAAATTGCAGAGAACAAAACCCTTACAGAGGCCCCGTAGAACCCTCCAAAATCCCTCGTCGAACTCCAAATACAACCCTTGCAGAACCCTCCAACGCTTAAACCCTCAACCCGAATAGATCCCGTAAACCCTAAACCCCCTAAACCCTGAACCGTAGACCCTCAACCCCTTAAAGTATATTCCTGTGGAACCGGATGGAACAACCCTTATCGAACCCTTACAGATATCGGCTTAAGGACCGGACCTCCTCCGAGCAAGCGGCCAGCTGAGAGGCCACGTTTCTCTTCATGGCCTCTTCGGGCTGAGCTGTTCTTAGCTGCTGAGTTCATAAGCATAAAAAAAGTGTACACTTTCGGTTCTATAAGGGATCATATTCTCCGAAAAAGTTTAAAGTGTAGTAATTCAGCTACCACGTGTTTATGGTGGGTTTAAAGTTCTACGGATTAGGGCTGCGGAGTTTAGGCCTAGGCTCTCGAGTTTAGGGTTTGGGGCTCGGGGTTTTAGGCTTAAGGGTTCTTTCCCAAGACAGGTTGAAGGTTTAGGGCTCATAGATTGTAAGGTTGAGGATTTAGGTTTTGTCTAGGGCGAAAAGGTTTCTTGAACAAACGAAGCTGAAAGGTGCTGTTGTTCAGGGTTTATAGCGTTTTAAGGCTTAGGGCCTCAGGTTGTAAAGTATAGGAATAAAGGTCGAAACATCCGGCGCCCCAACCCTCCGACGTTCCCTGAACCATGTACAACCATAGCTCAGACCTCAGCCTCAGGTGTGGGAGCTTTAGGAGAGTATATAAACCCTGAATCCAGAACTACACAGGGTTCTTGTTAGGGGATCTAATCTAAGTTACTACTCTAGGGATCTATAGTAAATAATATGGTTTCCTTACTATGGTAACTTAAATTAAACCCCTTAACAAGAACCCAGTATAGGCAAACCCTAAACGCTAAACCCTTTATAGGGGGATAGGGGCTTCAAAAATTGACACAGCAACCTGCTTCGGTGCGCGTATAAACACCCACTGCGCGCCTCAGGAATCGGCTGCTCCTCGAAGTTGGAACACAGCAAAGGGTTTAGGGTTTAGGGTTTAGGGCCAACCACAACAAAGACAACAGCGACGGCCCCAACGCCACATCGTCCAAACACGGACGTAATCATGTTAGCAACAGGCGACGATAACTATGATAATTCATTCTCGTCATGGTGAACCTCTCCCCTAAACCCTAAACCCTAAACCCTAAAGCCCTGAACCTTAGTGACGACGACAATTATGGCTGTTGCTCAAACATGGCTGGTTCTGTTTTTGCCACCTTCCTGGAGCTGGCTCTGTTCCTACTAGTGGCTGTGACTTGAACGGGTTGACTGTGATGGTGCTCAGGGGATGTGAACTCGATGGTGATGAAGAGGATGATGATGGTGATCATGATGATGATGAGGATGATGACGGTGGTGATGAAGATGATGATGAGGATGATGGTGAGGGGGAAGGATGGTGATGATGGTGCCATGGGCAGCGTCGCATTGTGCTGCACGAGGTATGTTGGCCATGTTGCCTTCATCGCCGGCGATTTGAAGGAAATCGGACATCAGCTACAGACTGGGACCCAAGATTTTCACTGCTACCGGCAGGAGAGAAAGCGGTGCAAGCAGTTTATTGTTCGGGTCTTACATCCGTCTGGGCCGCCCCAGAAGTCCCCAGAAGTACATGCCAGAAGGCATACCGGAAGCTAAGGACTGGCTCTTGGCTCAGCGCCGCGGCTCCGTGACCGTTTCTGATGTTGCTGACAGAGAGGCCTCCGCCACTCCATGTGTGCTTGCGAGAATGCGGCCTTTGAAATTCAAAAAATGCTCGCAGGACTGCACGGAGATGCACATTCCGGAGAACTGCAAAGGCCGGCGGCCACGCGCTGTCGAGCGCGTCAGAGGCTTGGGGCTTCGCGAAGTGCTTCGCGAGGCTGGGTGACCGGGAACCGCGGCAGCGAGCTGCGGCGGGTGGAGCAGGCGAGCGGGGGGGACACAAGGCAGGCGGCGAGGCCTGCACGGCTGCACAGGCGACAGGCACCTTCATGTTCATGGCCTTGGACCGGCACGGGGAGGCCGCTCACTTAACCCACTTAGAGGCATCGGAGAAAGTTTGAAACGGCGCAACTGGCAAGCTGAAGGAGCGGCTGCTGATCTTCAGCGCGAATGGTGGTTCGAAGACAGCCGACGGCGGCCGCATGCATGCCGAAAGCCTCGTTCTCAGTCCGCTCAAGTCTCAAGCTTGTTGTGACCGATTCTCTTGAAACTGCAAGGGCTTATCAACGAGATGGTGCAGGTGTGGCGGGGGTTGATGCGCACTCTTCTGGTCGAGACTGGCTACTCTCAGGAGAAGCTACGCGGTGACTCGCGCGGTCGCAGCCGCTCAGATTCGCGACGGAGGGGCGGTGGTGGCCGCAAAGACTCTCGACGCAGGTCAACTGACCGCAACTTTAGTGTCAGCTCCGATCTCTGAGTTGAAATGCCCGAAAGGTCCAACAGCCGCCGTCGCTCACCCAGCCGCCGACGCGACTCGCGTTCTCGGACTGCGTCTCAGCCCGGCTGAAGAGGGTAAAAGTGCGGCGAAGATGGCCACAAGGGAATTTTCGCTGCAAGGTCTCGACGATGAATGGAGAGTCTCGGATGAGAGGCCACAAGGGCCTCCTGAAAGAGGCAAGCATTGCAAGCATTTTGCCCAGCAGCTTCATATTTCTTGGCTTTTCAGAGCTTTATTCCAATAGGCACTCCCAAGCTGATCCAGAGGGGCAAGAGCTTCCCGATGCTCGCGCGTGTTCATGTTCCGCCACCATTTCCGGAGAGGCTTGAATCATGGCGGGCAGTTCAGAAGGTCTCCTGCTCATCGGGTACGGTAAGCACACACGGAAGGTTTTGTGGGGTTTCTATCAAAGGGCCGGAGCGCTTTAGCAGCAAGCTTGTAGTTAGAGCAAGCCTTCAGATCCTCTGGAGCAAGCATGCGGCAACCTGGTACAGTACATGGCAGACTGTTGTGCAGAGAGGCACCTTGCAGACTCAGAGAGGCTTTTTGCTATATACGACCCTTGCAGATGCTGGTCAGACCCAAGCTCCTGCACTCTTGTGGAGTAGTGTTTGCATGGTTGGGAGATGTAGATGGTCAAAACCCATTATCCAATCAGGGTTTCCGTACGGTTCGATCGATCTGCACCTTTTAGCGGAGTGCACGCCCCAGCTTGTCGTTATAGAGAGGGGAATCCTGAGATTCCCGGAATCATTCTCAAATCCGCGCGGATCGTGAGCGAGGAACACAGGGGGGAACCTGCAGGCCGAGAGCTGGAGCCCAGTTGGAGCACCCGAGCAAAAGACGACCGGAAGCCTGCCTAGGGCTTTCTGACGCTCTTGGCTCCGAGTCTTAGGCAGAAATGACGCGTAGTCTTAGCAAGCATGGCAAGTCTAAGAGCACCGCAAACGCCAGATGCAGGACTCAGCTCATGGAGGTGCTGCGGAAGTCGAAGCATGATTAAACAGCATGCCGGTCAATGCACGCAGTTTCTTTGCGGCAAACGGGGGTTCTCCAAGCAGCTCAGAGCTGTCCTGGTCCGGCAGGCCAGGCGGGCCAGGTCTCCAAATATGCTTCCTGCGAGTGTGCTGCTTGGAGATGGAGAATCAGGATGGAGGAGCCCTTCCAAGCCATGGCAGTGCAGGACCCAATGCTGAGGGAACGGGGCCGGCGAGATTTTGGGTCCAGGTAGCATGGCGAGGCTTCCACCAACATCCAGAAGCCGATTTAGAGACTCACCAGTTGCATCGAATTGCAGGAGCTGCTGGGCGGTGCTTTCCTTCGCCTGGATGATGGTGATCCTGAGGGTGCTCTGCACAGCCCTCAGACGGATATACTTCAGGAGTCGAAAGCCTAAACCCCAAACCCCAAGTCCTAAACCCTACTTTAGGCTTTGGGAGTCGAAAGCCCGACGTTTTGAGAGTGCCAGAGAGCGAGGTCCTGCGCGCTGCAGGCACTTTGCTTGAGCGTCCGCGCCCGAGCTCTGACTGGGGAGCTCGCTGCACGTGAGTCACGTGAGTTGAGGAGGTTAGAGAAGGGCCTAAAGGTGCGGCCTATGTTTAGGGTTTAGGGGTGTAGGGGTTTGGAGGGGTGGGGAGGCGGGGCCCACAGCGATGGCGGCCGCTGCCTGGAGAGCCTCACAGCGGGAGTCCGCCTTGCAGGCGCGCCGCCTTTTTTCATCGCTCCGAGGCCATGACGGCGATGATTCGCCGCACGCTCCGCACACGCGCAGGTCTGCAGGGAGATTCTGCAGCGAGGAGGGATCCTGGTAGACAGGACCAGGGCCCAGAGCCGAGAACCCAGAAGACACAAGAAGACTCAAAGCAGCTTGACAGGGGTCACGGCCAAATCCTCAAGAAGACCTTGGAGGCAAACCCCAAGCGTGAGAAAGGGTGTGTCTTTCTTTGGAGCACGACCGAGTCTTTTAGATTCTGCTGCGAAGGATGGCTCGTCTGTTGTGTGCACGAAGTGCGGGGCGCTTGTCGCCAGCTCGAGGGCAGAGGCACTGGGTTTTGGGTTTAGGGTTTGTGGATCCTGTTTATCGGGGCCTTTCGCTGACTTGCGAGAGGCTCATCGGTCTTTTTGGTGTCCAAGCCTCCAAAACGACAAGGACGAGGCCTTTTGCAGAGCCCTTCGCCAAGCCGAGCCTTTCGCGCCGAAGCCGGCATGCTCAGGCTGGGGCGACTGGGGATCTGCGAGACGACGGCTCCTTGGCTCCCAAAAAGTTTTTAAGAAGCTCTGCGTGGCGCGTCATGGCCCTTGGCTTCTCGGTGCTGCGCTCTGAAGGTGCAGACCCGGAGTCCATGCAGCTGGACTAGCTCCTGAGCACGGGCACAAGAAGCTACTGGTACCTGCAGAATCCTGCAGACTCCAGAATTCATCGGAACTTGCACGGCACGCTAATGGATGTAGCCAGGGCCGGTTGAAGACCTGCACAAGGACATGGAGTGTAACACGCTTCACCATCCGCCTGTTCCCACGTTCTCGACAGGTGCAGCGCAGAGGTGCAACATTCAGCTGCAACAAAGTGTTGACCCTGCATGCAAAAAGGCAGTCTGTTGTGCCGTTCGGCCATAGCAGTAGCAGAGCTTGTTGTGCTTTCTTTTGGATCATCAATCTCATTCTCATTCTTTCTGTCTCTCTCACACACATGTACTCACTCTGCCGCGCTGTCCAAGCCTTCGTCTATCCCGGCCTCAAACCGAGATGTTGTCGACTGGAGTTCTGGTCAGTAAAATTGATTTCTCTTATGCTAGTGAATGGAATGGCGACAGCTTATTGCTAGCTGCTAGACATTCCCTGCCTCCCAGCTTCTGTCGTTTCTGAGGAGCCCCTGTAATGCTCCAAGTGGGTCACATTCTGCGCTCATTGCCGTCACGTTAACCAACCTGCTGCCAGCCTGAGCTTTGCTCCAGGAATGGCAGTGGCCTCACATCACTGCTGACCGCACTCGGCCAGTGTCTTTCCAGTCCATCCGACCGGCCGCGGTCCCAGTTGGTGTACCACGGAGACCCAGAATCTTGCGGCCTTTGCACTTTCGCCGGCAGCCGCCTAACCCATTTTCCAGCAGGGAACTCCGTGCAGGAGGTCGAAAACCTCATCCGCTGCGGCAACTGCCCACGTAGATCGTTCTCGGCAGCACACCCCTGTTGTTTCACTGTATGGGCCAGAGGCGTTGATGCTGCTTTTCTTTGGTATTGTTGCTCGCGGCCTTCGTGAGTCGATCATAGTGACTGCTGCGTATGGCTGCGAGGCAACCTGAAGCCGATGCGATACTCCTTTTCGTACAGGGATAGAGTTTGGCTCAAAGTTTGTCTGTTGGTTGGGCAGTTTCAGCTCAATCATAATTACAACAACCCACAAATCCTGGACCATTGCAGTGGCACTTGGCGAAGTTGGGTATCTGGTGTTTCCTTGCTTTTCAGATGCATAGGGAGAGTACTGTGGTGCAGTTTGGTTTGCTCTGCCGAAAGCCTTACTTTGATCATGGCGACCTTCGGTCCGAACGCTACGACAGCTCGGTTCAACACACCTGAAAGGAGACCTGTAATAGTATGCAAGAGCTCATTCAGCAGGCCTTGAGGTCTGCGTGTGGGAGTTGGTGAACTGGGGGTCCTACCCGCGTGCACCTTTTTGATATGAGTCACTGTCAAAAAAAGCATGTCCAAAGAATAAATGACAATAAGACTCTTTGAGTGCGCATGAATGCCGCATCCTCCGCGATTTGGTTCGAGGGCGGTGAGAGGGGAGGTCCGGAGTCTCATTGAAGATTGCCGCGATGGCTCAGCTGTCCGTCGATGAGCTGCAAGCGGCATTACAGGAGCTTGCAGCGATGCTCATGTTGTCGCGGCACGAGGCTGGGGCTCTATGTACGCTATACCATGGCATATTGAATGTATGGTTATATGTTGCGTGCATGGGCTTTGATCCTCTTGGATGCAAGACGGGTGTGAGGTGTGTGCTACGCAGCAGGTCTCACGTATGAGGTACGTACATTTCTGCACATGTTCTTGTTCCCACGAGGCTGTCCGACAGGAGCTTCAGAAGCTGCAAACCCGATTCGAGTCAGATCTTGCTGCGGCCAAGGGGTTGCAAGCTCCAGCGTCGCCAGCACCGCCAGCTGTCGCTGCCCCTGCCGGGCCACAAGCGGAGGCGACTGAGACAAGAGTGGAAGCCTCCGCCTCCTTGCCATGGACAGAGATCACCATGTTTTCCTTAGACCTGGGTGATGGTGACAAGCCTTTCGTGACCGTCGACGTGAGACTCCGCGGAGTTGAAGCGTTGCCGTCGACGGACATCACTTGCGATTTCACTGACTCATCCTTCGATCTGAAGGTTGTTGGCCTCGAGGGCAAGAACTACCGTTTCCGGAGAACGAACCTAGAAAATCGCATCATACCCGCCGGCTCGGTTTTCAAGGTGAAGAAGAATCATGTGATGGTTTGGCTGCAAAAGGCGAAGAACCAGTTCGACAGATACGACATTTGGCTGGATTTGTGTGGCAAGGGACGGCCTAAGTCGGCAGAGGACGATGCGGCTGAGCCCAAGACTGGGCCCAACGATGGCATCCTAGACATGATGAAGGAACTCTACGAAACCGGTGACGACACGACCCGAAAGATCATAGAGCATGGGATGTACCTGGTTTCTGTTACTGTTGCTCATAATGTTGGTAACTTTCCTGAAGCCGGTTGCCTCAGATTTCCCGCTTTGCTGCGCCAAGGCACCAGGCGAGCCAGGACGGAAAGGGTCAGCCGGAGCAGGGAGAAGCAGGGACAGCGACCACATCGGCCGATTCAAAGCAGACTGAGGAGGTGAAGACGGAGCAGGCGGAGCAGGCGCCGCAGGAGGAGAGTAAGACTGAGACAGGTCCGACGAACGGCTGCGTGCCGAAGGCTCTCAGCGAGGAGGAAATCAAGGAGATGAGGGCCCGGGCAGGCGCCTTCGGGGGGACCAAAGCCTGTGGCGAGACCGGGACGGCTCAGGAGCACGAGCCACACCATGACCACGACCACAAGCATGAGCCTAGCAACCAGGACAATCCCAACCTCACCGGCATGAGCCAGGGCGAAGTGATGGAAGACAAGGACAAGCTCCCGGTCACCCTCCTGAGCGGCTTTCTGGGTGCAGGAAAGACGACATTGCTCACACACGTTCTGAACAATCGTGAGGGCATGCGTGTGGCTGTCCTTGTCAACGACATGGCATCGGTGAACATCGACGCGGATCTCGTGAAGGATGGAGTCGAGCTGCAGGAGAACAAGGACCCTGCTTGCATTCATCCCACCAGGCAGCAACGCAGTTCTGTTTTCGAGGGTTGTAGTAGTGCAAGCATGCCCCCTTTGTCTAGGCTTGAAGCTTGTGCACGCAGATAAGCTTAGATGTTGAAAGATGAAATGCCCAGGACAAAATGGTTGAGCTCCACAACGGCTGCATTTGCTGCACGCTCCGTGAAGACTTGATTGAAAGCGTGAAATCGTTGGCTCTCGAGAAAAAATACGAACACTTGCTCATAGAGAGTACAGGAATATCGGAGCCGATGCCAGTGGCCACTACGTTTGCGGCCGCCGATGAGCAAGGTCGTCCCTTACTGGGAGGTGTCGCGCGTTTAGACACACTCGTCACCGTTGTTGACTGCAGAAACTTTTTGAAGGATTATTGCTCCAGCGACAAGTTGGTCACCAGGGAGGAGTTGGGGGCTGAGGAAGGTGACGAGCGCAGCATTGTCAACCTGCTGGTGGACCAAGCGGAGTTCGCCAATGTGATAATCCTGAATAAGACAGACCTTGTCACCCCCGCAGAACTGGGCCGTTTGAAAGGCATCATGACGAAGCTGAACCCAAAGGCTCGCATGATCGAAAGCCAGCACGGGAAGGTGAGCCCCGCGCTGCTCCTGAATACGAACAGCTTCAACATGAGGGAAGCCAGCATGGCACCTGGGTGGGCACAGGAGCTGATGGGAAATCACCACAAGCCGGAGACCGAAGAGCACCTGGGATGCGAATGAGGACCTGGTAATTTTTTTGTTTAAGTGCCCCCCCCCCCGAGCTCATTAAGCGAAGCTGAGGTATGGCATCTCCAGCTTCATCTACCGAGCTGACCGGCCTTTCCACCCCGAGCGTCTGACGAGCATGTTGGGTACTTACTCCTTCCCTGGGGTGCTCCGCTCCAAAGGCTTCGCGTGGTCCGCGGGCAACCCGGACAACGCTGTGGAGTGGAGCTCCGCCGGTCTCACGGCGGATCTCAAGCCAGGTCCCAGGCGCCGCGGAGAAAGCCATCCCCACATAGACATTTTGCCCACCCTTGCCCCGTTTGTGCCCCCGGCAGGTGGCTGGTGGTGACTATGCCGCCGGAGAAGTGGCCAGCCCAGGCCCAGAAGTACAAGGACAACCGTTTCGGCGATCGGCGCACTGAGATCGTTTTCATCGGAGCCGACATGGTCGAGTCCGAGGTTCGGGAAGCGCTCGATGGTTGCCTGCTGTCGCAGAAGGAGTTCCAGGCACACTTCGGCGGCAAAACAGGGGCGCGCCAGAGGTCGTGAGCGGTGAGGCAGCGTCCGTGTGCACAAAGCGGGCCAATGAGGTGGTGTCTTTCGTTGATTATCTGTCAGTCCATGAGGAATCATGAGACACAAGCTCTTAGTCTTTTAATTAACAGTTTTGTACAGGAGGGGCAATGTCGGTTTGCAGCGACCGGCCCCGAACTCATGGAGTGAAATTCAACCTTTGATCTATGGGGTGGGGATTCGCGCGATTTTGCCTTTAATAACTATATTTATGATACGAAGGTGTGAAGAGGACCTAAGCTGTTTAGAGAACAGAAAACTTGAATAATTTTAGAATTCTGAGAGATACCGTAACATACATTGCTTACTCTAACGGATCTCAGAAAGACGAATAAGCAAACATGGAAAATTAGATGCGGCAATAATTTATGACTGGAAATTAAAAAGACAATTTTATAAGGTTTCTTATTGATTAGCAAAGATGAGTAATTGGGCGATTACAAGGAAATTTTTATGATATTGAATAGATAATATTTCTAGGTTCTAGATATTAGAAGAAATAATATTTCTAGATTCTATATATTAGAATTGCTTCTAATATTGATAAGAGGTCGATTTATTTTAGAAATAATTTGGACGATATTTGATATTTTGAAATATGATTTAAACTAGAGAAAAAAATATTTTCTTATTTTCTTATATTATTTTTTCTTATTGTTGATAATTTATATCGAGAATTATATATATTTATCTAGAAGGAGCTAAATAGATATTAAGAAAATCTATAGTTTGTTAAATTTGCAAAAAACTTTCGATAATTATTGATTCGTGATTTTATTTAGAAATTCTTTATGATGAGGAGATTTTATCGGATTCGTATTTATGATGGATATAATTTCTATTTATATTCGCGATAGATTCAATTTTTGGTCGACTAAAATATTTCGTTAATTAATTGAGGGATGAATGATTATTATATATTTGATTCTGAGATCTAAGGTAAATAAGTATAAGAATTTCTTTTATAAATTAGATTTTAGGGAGGTGATATAAAGAAAAAAAATATTGATAAGATATATCTGGGTAGAATCGATAATTAGCCTATATAATTCTAATATTGATTATAAATTTGTGATTTGCATGAATCGGTACGTTCTATTTTTTTTATCGTATTGAATTCATATCGTGGTCTTTAAAAATACGTTCTTTCTTTATCTCTCTACGGAATTCCCAAGCGTATACGATTAATATCGGAGAATGCAACGTCCGAGAGCAATATATATATAATATTCTTATGTAGAGCTTCGACTTGGAACTCCAAAATTCTTGGAGCCACTACTATTGAGCGAGAAGGGGGTCTCTCGAATAGGCAATTCTCGTACGATTATTCGTATCCAATATTGGATTCGCCCGAAAGAAAAAGATTCTTATAAGAAATAGATCGCAATATATTTATATGGAAGGCTCTCGATTTCATCGACAATTTGATATATTTCTTATTATTTGGCTGATAAGAAGCTATTCAAGAAATCGTGCAAAAAAATCCTGAGGTCTTCAGAAGAATAATCAAATTATTTCTGATTTCTCCTTCTCAGAGTTTGAAAGGTCGAGATATCTCTCCGAAATTATTTTCCGGCGAGCAAAAGAAGAATATATTGGGAGAGATCGAATTTAAATCTATATCTAATCGTAAATTCTATTAATTATTGAAAATTAGAAATTAAATAATCTTCGTACCTCTAGAATAAGAATTATCGGCGAATTCGATACCGAATATCGGAAGAATCCGATTAATCTCGCAAATTCAGATATATTATATTACGAGAAGCATGATCCCATTATCAAATATTCTTATTAATTTTTATGACATTTTCCGAAAACCTTCTCATAAATCAAATAATTACTAATACCGTAAATGGAAGAAATAAATCATGTAGAAGTAGGAATAAATACCCAATATTCACACGAGAATTCTTGCCACCTAATTTCATTAAAGACATTACGGATTTTTTTTATAGAAGATTAAAAATAGAAATCTTCTGATTTTGGTGATCTCACGAAAGACGAATACGGTTCATAATAATAGAATTTCTTTCAATATAGATATATCGAATTACGAACCTTAAGAGATATTCGGATCCCACTATTCAGAAGAGATCTGCCCCGAATTCAAAGATTGTCTTATGAGTTCCCCTACCATAGAAAAATCATCAGAGATTCGTAGAGCGGCTACGACAGAGAATCTTTTTAGAATTATTGAAGCAATTACGAATACAGCCGAGAATATGGCAAAAAACCAATTTAAGCTCAAGCAATTAAAGATTTATCATTCGTATTAAAAATAAGTAGTTTTCGATATAAGAGCCGAACGACAGAAATATCATTTCTAAATAATTAATTTACTCAATAGAATAAAGACCTATCTTTAGCAATAACTTTTTATTATATCAACAACGAAAAACACGACGAATCGTAATATATCCATATTTATAAATATTTCGAAGAAAATAAAAATCAAATATTTAAGAAATTATCGAGAAGAATTTTTTAGAATAATATCGGCAAATTTAGATAATATTCAAAATATTTCATATCTATTTTAATTATATTTTATTAAAATAATTAAAACAAATCATAAATATTCTAGCAAAAATTATCTTAAGAAATCATCCATATAATTTCGAAATCCAAAAATATAATAATATTTAATATCAATTCTAATTTCATAAATATATTTTTATAATAAATATTCGGCAACCTCTAAAAAAATAGAATAAAGATAAATTTCATATATACCTAAGACAGAACAAATTACCTCGAAGAATCCACGTATTATATAGATCATAATAACGATCATAACTAACCTATCTTCCGAAATTCTAATATACAAAGAATCAGAAACTTTATTTATCTCCGAATAAATCGACGCGAGCCGCGAACCAACGAAAACTCTTTAATCAATACGATTTCCAGACGAATTCCCTTCCTTCCTTAAAGACAGAAAATATTTAATATCATCAAAGAAATACGGACCTAACAAAAAATATAGAGAACAAAAATAAATAAATAGAAAAAATAATCAATTCAATGCTCTATATTTAAATTAGAACTTTTTCTCAATTAAAAATTATATTTTCTTTCGAATTTATAAACAAGATATCTTTTATTTTATAGATATTTTGAAAAATTCTAAATTTATATCTGTGCAATTTTTTCTTTATATATTCTATATATATATATATTCGAAATTTTAAAAATTAAAAGGTCCAAATTCGTATTCAATATCTAGAAATTTAGAAATTCGAAATTCTTAGAAAAATGAATATATATATTTATTATATTTATCTAAAAACTTACGAAATACAAGATATTTATTAGAGAGATATATATTTATATATTCATATATATATATCATATCTCAAAAATCTTATTGCATTTTTATATTTTCAATATAAATTCTATAAGCTAATTATTGGCCTTACAGATTTATATTATTATTCGAACTAATAATACGTATCTTTATTTAATAAAATTTAAAGAATAGATTTTCGCACGACAAAAAAAATATAAAAATTTCAAGATAGATAGATAGATAGATAGATAGATAGATAGAGATATATATATATTTATATGCCAAAATTATAAAATACAGTCTTTTTGAAGTTCACCATACCTTCATATCAAAATTTCAGTTAGACGTTCGTGTCTTAAAGTTATAATATCTTTATGATTCATAATAATTTCAATCTACAGATATGAGGAGGTAGTGGGTCGACGAATCTAATATGTATTCTAATCATCCCGTGCATTCAATAAGCCTAATATCTAATCGCACCCCGTGCATTCACCAAGCGAAACAGCTCTCATCTGCTTTCGCGACTGCATGGCTATTGAAATGTCATCAGCTGACAGCGGTCGCGGCCAGACTGAAAGCGATAATGCATGCTGCAGCCAGCAGGGCAAGACGATCGGACAAGCGCCACGACTCTAGCAATGCTAGCTGAAATTCGCAATCGCGCTTGAGTTCTTAACTTCCCGTTGCATTCGGAGCCATTTCTTTGCAGATGTTTAGTCTGGATACCAAAGCATCGTCCGAACATGTCCCGCAACTAGCCTTCGGAGATTCCCACAGGTTGCAGGCCAGAAGCAATAACGCGATGTGTTTGGATGCTCTCGGAAATACCGTTTGACCTTTACAAGGATCAGAGTGCCTTTAGTTGCTTGCCAAGCCTGAGACCGACAAAAAGTTTGAATCGGTCCCCGAGTGCATGTACTTCTGACCTATGTACACCCAGCCTTAAGGGACACCTTAAAATCTTGCACTTAAACAGTTGATGACGTGGCTGTCAGCGACGTCCGCCTCTTCTTCGCCTTGCTGGTCCCAAGGGATTCCTCAGCCACTTGTGCGAGTCCTTTCGGAACTTGATGTAACGGCCATCGCAGTCGGTGTCAAGATTACGCTCGAAGCGCTTGAGGGCATGGAAGTCGCCTTGAAATCGGACTCGGACCTTGATCTCACCTTGTGTGTATTGCTGAAACTTCTTCAAGGCCCAAAGGCGCCGATTGTCCGCTGACCAGAGGACAGAGCGTCCTCGCGCATCTCTCTTCCTGATGACGTCGAGAACCAGGAAATCTGCAGTCCTGGGGTCAACTTTCTTCTCGTGGAGGTCTCTGACCAGGTCCTCACACTTTCGGCCACAACGAAAGTAAGAGCCGCAAGTTCGTTGGGAATATCGCAACTCCCGGACAGCAACTTCACGCTCAAGCTGCCAGTCAGAGGTGCGGTGTCTCGACAAAGTTGGGTGAAGGGGAGTCCCATCCATCGGCTTTCGTGGAGGTTCAGCCGGCTCGCTCGGCCGGCGCGTGTCGGCTCGGCGTTTGACTTTTCGGCTTCCAGACCACAGCTTCTTCCCGTGCAGTTTGAGGAACCTCGATAGCTTCCTGTTTTGCGCTCTCCGCGCTCTCGGACGTGCCGCGCGAGGCTTGGGCTTCTCCCAGATGTCCGAGGGCTCGGACTTTGGCCAAAGGCGGCCAATGAGACTGGCCATGTCCTCGTGTGAGATCTCGGGCTCGGCAGGCTCGTTCTCTTCAGTCTCCCCAGTCTCCGACTTAACCTCCACCGAGGACTTGCTCGCGTCTGAACTCGGCAAGGACTCCCCAGCTTCCGTGCTACCATCCATGTCTGCCAGGTCATCCGCTTTCTCAACACGTCTCCGCTTCTGCGTCCCATCACAGAGGTGGCAGAAATCACAGGACTTGCCTCTCTTGCATCCAGTCAGCAAGAACCGACATGGCCGGCAGCTGTGCTTGTAGTGCCAAGTCGAACCCACACTTGGGAGCTCTTCGCTCCCGAGCCGCTGCACCCAGCTTTCCGCCAGATTCTGGATGCTCTGACCTCGCCATCAAAGCACTGCTTTGAATCGACTCTACAATCGTCGCGGAAACTGCAGACGTGGCACAGCTCTGGTTTTCGCGCAGCGCCGGCGTAGACTCAACCTGTGGAAAATGAAAACACTCACACATCCTTGTGAGAAGGTATGGCCGCCTGACGGGCTGACCCTGAGTCTGATTGTCTGATTGTCTTGCAGAAGCAGGATGTATGCAGCACATCTCTTAGATCGCAAGCCGAGCAGCAGCGCGTTCTTCGGCGGCTTCTTTTCCTGGCCTTGGCAAAAGTACGGTTTGACTGCAAAAGCAAATCTCTCTGCTGGTCAAGTGGCTCGCGGGGTGTCTCCTGCCAGGTCAAATGCAAAGGACGAGGAGGGAGATTGAGCACCGGATCGGCTCTGCCTTCTCGCTTCCTTTGCTCTGATCTTTCTCACAACTCTGGTCTCCTGCAGATGGCTGCAAGATTGTCGCATCTAGCTACGGGGCGTTCCCTGTCAAAGCCACTCAGCCAGGCTAGGTGTTCTGGCCTCTTCTGGGACAGCGCGGATCCGTCCACATGAGCTCCACTTTGCCCATCAGCGTCGCTGGAAGTAAATGTCTCCCCCCAGCATGCTCAAAAAGCAAATGGTCCCTGAGCTGCGACCTCCCTCAAACATGTCTACGCGCCCTCTCTCTCACTGATGACCTTTGATGGCTCAAGATTCAGGCAAGTCTCTCTTCCACGAGCATATCCGCAGACTTCGAAACTTGGGGGTAGAACAGAGTGCATGTCGAGGCTTCTTGATTGACTTGCACAACAAAGGGTTGCTCAAGGCCAGCAGCGTCAAGCTGTCTCACAATGTGATGCTCTTCTACACCAACCGGCAAATTCGTGAGCAGCACTTGCTGGCAAACTTGTCGCCTGATGGCATAGTGCGGGTGAGTGATGACCGGTATTTTCGGCGGAGGAGGCACCGGAGGCTCCGGAACCTTCTCGGATTTGACGGGCTCTGGTGGCTCTGGCACTGTGACTGTCACATACTCGGCCTTGCGCTCGGGCCGAGGGGGTGTGAAGAGAGCTCCTCGCTCGGGCGAGCGGGGAGCAGAGGCCTTCGGCCGAGATGGCGTCACCGGTTCCGGCACTTTGCGGGGAGTCCAGGCCCAAGAACGCGGAGATGGAGGAACCGCTGGCTTCGCTTTGCAATGTAGTGGAAGCACCGATCCCACCGATCCCACTCGCAATATCGGCACCGGCTTGATGGGACTGGGAAAGGGCCGTTCGAGCTGCCGAGTCCTTGGCACATGAAAAGAGAGGGAGAGACGCAAAGGGGCAGAGACTCGAAACAGCGCACTCGATTGGGCAGTCAAGATCACTGGACTCCTGAGGTCGATGCTGGTTTGGGTGATTGGTACATTGGGTCATTGGATTGATACCGAAGTACTAAACACAGACAGATAGGACAGGCGCACAGCTGGCCAAACATGCAATAGGTAACCAGGCGAACAAGACAGCTTAACAAGCAAGCCCTTGTCGTGCCGAGGTGCGGTCGACCAGGGACCTGCACATATGCCATGGCACAACTAAGGCTGTAAGCAACCTGGAACTAAATACGGTCCTCGACACAACTCTCGGAGGGCCTCTCCTTCTCCTCTAAACCGAGTACACATACACCTTCTTCCACAGAACATCGCATCTTGCTCCGAGGTAGACATTGGCCGTAATGGCATCTTGAAGCCCAAGGATTGCGGCACTCCACAATGTCACCAAACCCTTCGTGCACTGTCAGCAGAGTTCCACCGGAAATGCCCTCGAAGATGCGCATCAAGCCCCGGGCCTTCCCATCCGTAAGCTCAAGCAGTGTCTACGTTGCTTTCTGCTGGTGTCCATTTCCCGCTAGGCTGATTCACAAGTGCCCGAACATGTGCCCCGCAAAACTCACACTCTTCACATTCGGAGTGGTAAACGTGGCCTCACGTGAAACCGCAAAACTAGTATTGCCTTTTGCAACATGGCAGTCGACCGTAGATTCGAAGAAGACGCCGAATTGTCCGCTTTGCGGGTTCACGAACTCTTTGTTCATGGAGGTCACGGAAGCGAGGGCGGAAATCAATTATAATAGTTGAAATACGGCCCCAAGACAGAAGTATCGCTTGAAGGGAATGCTCCCTCTCCACCAAGCCGGTCCTGAACCCGAGCTGCCATCATGTGTCCACGTTAGGGCCTCCTGAATCTATAGACAGAACGTCAGAGCGAAAGCCTTCAGTGGCGGCGAAAATCAAGCTTGACAAGACGGTTGAAGAATCGTCAAGATGGGTCGTTGCTGCCGTATACGGTGAGTAACCCATTCAACAAAGCCTTGGCGTAGGCAACACTAGAATCACTAGAACTCGTCGTCCGCTTTTAGCAAGCTCGCATGGTCCATGTCTGCTTCCCTCTCCCCTTTGAAAGCGCAGCCACTGGGTCTGTGCAGGATCTTTGTGTGCTGCTGCGCGCCTTCACTTCGTATGAATCTGCCGTGGCATGCTCAGCAAACCCTCCGAAAACACATGAGGTGGTTGATGGTTGATTGTTGGAAGACAGACTGTCGGACATCGACTCATATGCTTGGGCGTTCCAGTTCACTCTCGGTGTGGACGACTTCGCATGCATGCAGCACGTGCTATGCCCACACGATTTTTTTCCAGGAGCAGCCGCGTCTCTAGAGGCGTCTTTTCGTAAAGCTTCCGCCAGCGAAGCTTCGGGCGATGGCCTCCAGCTTCGAAGCAGGGCTCCGCTCGGAGGAGCCTCCAAGAGTCCAGCTCGGAGCTCACGGAGCTCCGCAGGCTCCGCTTTACCGGTGACTTCGCTGTGAGGCAGAGGGCAGGGAAACGGCTTCGGCCTTGGTTGGCTGCGTGGCTGGGAATGAAGACGCTGCCATTTTGGACCCGAAAACGTTGAGTGAAGTCCTCGAAGAAACAGGAGCGCAGGACGGGCTGGAAGGCCCAAGGACGGAAGCCTCCCTTCGAGCGCTCGGCAGTGAGGAATGGCTCGCATCTCGTGGGTCTGTGGGACCCCAGGAGATGGAGTCCAAGGCCTGGGAATCAGTGGACCTTTCGGTCCAAATTAATGCATCTCTGGTCTGAGCCCAAGCAGATGAAGCTGTGTCACAGGCGGCCAGCACCAACTGCAGCTTTCCAGACTGAGGAAGGCCTATGAGACAGCGATGCCCCTGACGGCCCTGGCGCAAGGAGAAGGTACGACCAAAGCGGCTTTGGCTCGGCTCCTGGACGAAGAGTTGTCTTTCAAAGGCCTCTGAGGTGCGCTCACACGGCTCCAAGGCCAAACTGCCAGGACTAGTGCCGGAACCTTCCGCACTCAGGCATCGCATGGGTTTCTCACCCTCGCATAGCGGCCGACCTTCCTGCACCCGGAAGAAGAATTGAAATTCTCCACACTGTGTTGCCGCCAATCCATTGCCTTTCACATGCAAGCATCGGCCATCACCAGCAATGCGCAGCTGACGCAAGAAGCCATTCCCGACGCCCAGCTCTTCCAGTGTGGCTTGCTCTTTGGGCCCCAACTCACTGCAAGGAGAGAGGAACAGCTCCACGTCCCCATTGCCTTGTGCCTCTCGCGGTGGAACCAGACACCACTCTCCCAAAAAGCGCCAGGAGCCAGTCCCGGTGCTTGCCAGGAGGGGTGTGGACCCAAGCCCCTGTCGCCGTTCGGGTCGAAGCTTGGCAGGACGCTCGTGCGGAGCTCCAGCTAGACATTGCAAAACCTTCGTCAGCCTTGGGACCATGATGAACTCCTCCTGGAATGCAAACTCCTGGAACTGTGATCTCCGGAAGAAGGAGCACATTCCGGTCTGAGGGGCGCAGAAGCATCACATCGAAATCATATATACCCTGCAGGCTAGAGCTGTGTCGCTACTTGCTAGGTTCCCCAATCTCTCTCTTTGTTGCTTCCCGGATGCCTGGAAGTCACCGCCATACCAGGCCAGGCAGACGTCGTAGTTCCACAGCTTCAAGACTGAGAGCTCCGAGCTCTCCGCCTCGGATCCCAGGAACTGCCAGCGCTGGAAGGCCAGTCCCGGGATGCAGCGGCTCAGGAAGGGCCTCTTCAAGTTTTCGTAGGGGTCCACGCTGAGGCAAAGCGAGGCCGAGCGCGTCTCGCCTTGGCTCTCCAGCTGCAGGTGGAAGACGCTTTCAGGCAGCAGCCCCGTGAGCCTGAAGAGCTCCCTGAAATGCTCCTGGCGTCAAAGGAAACTTCAAGTCAGCCACCGATGCATGAACGCATGAACTCCTTTGAAAAACCGGCGCTTGACATTAAAGAGTGCTACCAACAAGTCGAGCTTTCTGCAAACAAAGACAAGAGTGTCCAAGTAGTTGGCGAAGGGAGCGCAGCCCAACCGCCGCTGCAGCTGCTGCAGCTCCGAGTCGTCAATCTCGTGGCGGCGCTCAGCGAGCCCCCGAAACTCTTCGAAGCTCCGTACCTTCGAAGCCCAGGGCCCCATCCAAGCCTCTGCCGCCCGGAGCCGGTTTCGAAGAATTTGGGCTTCTGACAATCGGTATCGAGGCGCCGTCTTCCCTCCATCGCGCCAGAGGTGGGCCACCCGGGAGTTTTGGGCAGCACGGATCTCACCCCCGCAAAGCCACGTCCGCAAGGACTGGTCCAGGTTCTCGCCACCCCAGCCCTGCATCGTCTCGTCTACCGGGCCCAAGCCACCAGAAAGGTGCCACCAGCGGCTGGTCAGTGCCATCAAGCCACCGGACAGCAAAGGCACCTCGTCACCAGGCCATCCGTCGCACCAGAAAGAGTCGGCAGCCCATGTCAAACCTGCAATGGCTGGGGCGCAAAGAAAACCATTGCACTCCGGGTGTGCTGCTGCAAGCTGTTTTGGCTCTCTGAGTTGTCAGCTGCCTTTTTATGTTCAGGCATGTCGGAAGATTAGGTTGCTCTTCCTCATCTTCCCTACTATTCTTCCTGCTGTTTCTACTCTCTTATTCTTCCTGCTGTTTGTACTCTCTTTCTTCCCCTATGACCGAAGAGGTCGGCAGAGGGAGGACAGGTTCCTCCTTCTTATTCTGACATGCAGGCTGTCAGGAGGACGAACCGTAGCCCTTGCTGCGCGTGCGTCCTGGCACAGCCACGGTTGTGGAAGGTCTGTACACTTGACGAGAGCGGGAAAAAAAAACAAACAAGCAGCGAGTTGCCTACTAAATTCCTCATTCCTCCCAACCCTGACACCCTCACGATTTTCTTCTCTTTCTCAGCTCCCGCCAAGTGTCGGGGTCCAAGTTCGTCATCAGGGGCACAGCCACCCGGCGCCAGTTTGCATTGAGGTGCTCCAAGAGGTCTTCAGTCCAGTGCTCCATCGGCCGGACGTGGCAATCCAGGAAAACGATGGCATCTCCCTTTGCAGCATCCGCACCCCTCTGCTTCGAGCGGAGCAAACCACGAGGCTCAGGATTCCGAAGCACCCGCGCACGATGAGAAGTCAGAAACAAAGCAGCACCGGAGACAGCGCGGGAGAGTTGTCGCTCCAGGCTCGGCCTCGAAGCATCGTCCACCAAAAGTATTTCCAAGAGCTCTGCCCTTGGCGTGGCCTCCCAGATGGCCTGCACCGTGTGCTGCACGTTCCAAGTGCTCTCGTTTGCGCAGGGTACCACCACGGACAGCGTGGTGATAGCTGCGTTGGTCGCCGTTTCCTCAGCGCTTCCGATGCTTCCGTCACTGGCCGCTGCTGCCCCCTCGCGTCTTTCGAGAAGATCGGTGCCTGCCAAGGACACCACGGAGACGAGGGACGCGTTGAGCGTGAAGCCGAGCAGAAGGCGCACACCGAAGGAAAAGAAGTCACGGGGAGTCCCTGCTCCCAGACACGTGTGGCCAAGTACTTGCAAGCAGCAGAAAGCCACGAGTGCGCCAGAGGTTAGAAGAGGCACCAAAAGTGCCACGAGCAGCAGCGGCAAGGTGGAGAGTAGAATCAGCGCCCACCTGGCAATGCCCATTTCCTGGAGACCCCATGCATTCTCTCGACCTCACTCAGCTTGGGCCAAACCTGCATGGAGTTTTTTTGCCTCCTGGAGCGATTTGCTTGGCAGGGTCTCGGCAGACACACTGGTGAACTCTTTTGCAAGGGAGCCTCTCGTGACCCAGACCCACTCTCCCATTAAGTAGAAGCCACCAAGTAGGGGACAGCAAAATGCCACAGTACAGTGCGAATGAAATGGAGATCAGCATAAATGACATGGGGACGTCCTCTCTCGTTCTGCATGGAGCGAAGCTGAGGCTTTGCGGGCAAGTGCTCTTGAGAACTGTAGAGGGCGGAGGGTTTTGTTGGAGTCAACACTAACACAAAGCTTGCGGTGCTATCTTAGATCTTACCGAGGCGTCGATACTCCACGCTCGCCGTCTCACATGTGCTGGTGTTGCAGAAACCCGTCGTACACACAGACAGACAGACAGACAGACAGACAGACAGACAGTGAGTGACTGCTTGCAGCAAGCATTGCTACAACTGCTACACATGCTGTTAACAACGGCAAGTGTTGACATGAATGAAGACGTGATTGCGTGTCTGTGTGACCCTGCTCTCATGTAAATCAATGCAAAGTTTGCAGGCTCCGTCCAAGACTGTGCAGGAAACCATGAGAGCCTTCCCACCAACCTGACAAGAATGCCCTCATGGCAGACATCATACACACGCACACACACCTGACCTCAACACACGGCCCTCTTCCGACTACAGCATAAACAAGCTTGTTCTAGCCCATCGTACTCCCAATGCTTTCAGTTGTTCTGCATTCATCGCATTTCCTGGCCGCGGAACTGCTTGGAAGGATATGCCATGTCATGGATTCAGGAACGACGTGTGCAAAACACTACGTGTGGAGTCATACATGTCCATACCACTGGGCCGCTGGGCCTCGAGAGCACAGCAGATGTACGCTGAGTTCACAGGGCAGCAGGCAGGCCAATGGGCTATGGAACAAGGGTAGCACACATACATGCAACTGAAAGGTGACTTGTCCCCGGACATGTTGAGCTTCTGTTGCGGGATCTAGTGTTTGGATCCAATCAGTCCAGGTGTGCGTTGGCCATCGCACCTTTGGCTAAGTCGCTCATGCCTGCTTTCAGTCTTTTGTCTGTACAAAGATGAGCCCGGCATGTCCCAAACGGACTGGAGACCAGCAAATCTAGCTGAACCCGAATGGTCAAACTCACTTTCCAGTGACAGTCGGCTGCAAGGAACCTCAGGGGCAGTTTGCAGATTGGCTTGGGATCATCATCTTTGCCTTCGCCAATCTCGCTCTCGCCGGCGCCGGCTTCGGCTTCGGCCATCCCTCCTTGGGCTTGGGCTGTCCCTCCTTGCGCGTAGTCGCATTTCTTGGGCGGCCTGGGCCCTGGATGGAGGCCCTGGACCTTGCCGAACCGTTCGGTGATGCAGCGCTGATACTCAGCGCTGCGCCTGAGTGTCATCAGCGCGCATCAGCTTGCTTCCATGGGTCTGCTGTAGCTGTGCTGCCACTGTGACTACAGCCTAAGCGGTCTCTTGCCAGCTTCGCGATCAGCACCACAGCCACCGTTGTCACACTAAGGTCGCTTTATAGAGGCCAGCAATCATCCACGGCCTTCGGCAAAAACACACATTGACACAAACCTCTGCAAGCCCGCACTGGAAGGTAAAGGGTAAGCGGTATAAACCTTTCCGCTTCCGAACCCCCTCCCTCAAAAAGGAGTGAAATTGACGTGACATCACACCACTGAGGGGCCATGCACTCCACTTCAACTTCTTCCTTCGTCCTTGGCGGGTGTAAGGCGACGTGGCGACACGTCTCCGCATCTCAGGTGCCATCCGCCGGCCCTCTGACTCCAAAGCAGCAGGCCCCGGTGCACTGCTTGGTGTCTATCTCTCAGGAAGTCTCGACTGATTGGCCGGAAGCTTGTGGCCTCCTGTCTCTGGCTCTCCCGGGCTCTCCTTGAGGAGCCGCTGTCTTTTGGTCGTCTGAATGCGTATCATCTCCAAAGTCCAGGGGTGTTCCTTCCCAACCTGCCAGGAGCATTCAGCAGAGAACTAGCCTCCGCGACTTCATGCTCACAGCTTTCGACGATACCCTGATGTTGCTGGGTTTCGCAGATGTGATCTCTTGCTGCCCCATTCCACTCTAGTTAAGCTTCCTGATATTGCTGGTGCAGTGCTGCCGTTTGCATTCTGGCAGCAATGGTCAACATCGTCGTCTTCTTCATCCCTTTCGCCCTGCCAAGGCTCCGAGATGCAGTGGTGGTCGTGCTGCTGTTGGTGGCCATGGTGGAGGCAGTAGCATCAGCATGAGCAGCACGAGCAGCGAACCAGCGCAAGATACTTTTGACTTTTGGGCCTACATACCGGGGAATTGCCTGATCTTGTTCGGGCTGTGGGAAGTTCTGCGGGGTCCTATACGGCTGTGTTGGAGGCTATGCAAGAATTGAGGATCAGGAGACCGCACCAGCCAGAAGACCATGAACACTGAGTATACTCAATCATGCTAACAATTGCTGCATACCAAACCTGTCCATGCTACAGCAACTATGCTGTCGTGTATCCGACATCATGCAGCGCACCTCCCTGTACAGAATGGGCAGCGCTCGCTCGACGGCATCCTTTCGCTCAGGAGCTCCGATTGGATAAGCCATGGCCAAGTGGCGGAGCGTCTTGGCGACTTGTAAGTGGGCCTGAACAAGGCACAAGGCACCGCTCCTTCAAGAGAAGATAGGAGGGAACCCAAACTGCTGCTTTGCCACGATGCCCCTGTTCCCACTGACGGGCAGAAGCGCTTCGTGAGGAGATTTGCGAATTTCTGCCGATGGCAACGTATGAAACCCATAGCAGGTTGCAAAGCAACATCGGATGGCCAAGAAGCATTGTAGCAACAATAACGGTTTCAAGTTTCTTTTTAGGTTGACCCTCTGTGGTATTTCCCACTTTACTAAAGCTAAGAGCCTGGAATGAAACCTGGAAACTGACACTCGCCGCTTCCCGTTGAAGCATCGATGTACATGGGCCTGCACTACAAAGGGACTGGGCTCTGAGTCTGCGGACTTGGAGAGAAGTTGAAGGAAACATGAGCTTCATTGCAACCACATACCTTGTGGTTCGAGTGCTTTGGGCGCCGTTCACTGATTCCCGATTATGTCTTGGAGTTCATCTCCAAACTCACGTCAAAGCTTGCCGCCGAAGTGCCTCCCCAAGCTGCGTCTCGAAAACAGAGAGTGCATGCTGGAGTATGTCTTGTGCTTCTGGGGCATTTCCCAGGGCCACCAAGATCATTCCGAGGCACCGCTCAGTTCGAGCAGTCTCCACATGCTCCAATCCGAAGTGTTCCTTCTGAAGGAGAGCCGCCTTCTCAAGCAAGGGCTTCGCGGCCTCAGGCCGACCCGTCTCTGACAGCGCTGAGCCGAGGCCTGCAAAGAGAGGCAAGGGGAAGGAAAGCCTTGCTCTTATCTCAAAAAGGAAGTGTGACATCGATGCAAACTGCCTTGCCTCGCAACAGGAGAGCGACATCAGCATGTCCTTCTCCAAGTCTCGCGGTGCCGATGCGCAAGGCACGCTCAAAAAGCTGCTGCTTCGCCTCATAATGGCCCAGAGCGCCCTCTGCGTTGGCCAGAAGACACAAAGAGCTCATTGTCACCAAGTGCTCTGCACCGAAGCTCGATTCCGCGATTGCGCAGGCGCGCTCTGCCACTTTGCAAGCTTCCTGAAAGTGCCCAAGCTCTGCGTGTGCACTTGCGACAGCGGCCAGGCAACTCAAAATGGACAAGTGCCTAGAGCCGAAATGTAGTTCGAGGGTTTTCAAGCTGCTCTTCGCCAGCTGCAGCTGTTCCTGATACTGGCCGAGGTTGCCCATCGCGTGCGCGTAGGTGGCTAGTGCCTCTGCCACTAGGACGTGCTTTGGGCCATAAGCCTCTTGGAGAATGTCGCAGGTCTCTTTGGAAGTTTGCGCAGCCTTCTTATAGTCGCCGGTGCTTGCCCAGGCCTGTGCCAATACCCTCAAGGCTGCAGCGCTACGCACATGTTTGCGTCCATGCTCACGTTCGACAATCGTCATGCTCCGCAAGGCCAGCTCCAGTTGCTTCTTGTAATTCCCCAGGCCTGCCTCAGCAAGTGACAACCCACCCAGTGTTGCAGCAACTTCGAGATGTTCAACTCCAAATTCGCCTTCCACAATCGATAGGACCCTTTCCAGCAGCTCCCTCTGCTTATGGTACTCTCCCAGACGCCCGTAGCTTTCTGCCAGGCTTCGCATCGCCACTGTGTTGTTCACGTGGTCCTGTCCGAACTCTCGCTGTTTGATCCGGAGTGCTTTCACAAGCAACTTCTGCTGCGACGCGTACTTCCCCATGTGGGCATGTGCAGCAGCCAGGTTGACCATGGCTATAGCCGTGCTCGGATGATTGCATCCAAAATGCTTCTCCTGCGACAATGAATCAAGAATCGCTGTATTCCCGAACTTCCAACCTGTTTGTGGTTCACCACTTACCCGCCCAGTGTCCGGTCTTCTGCAATTTGGGGCCGGTCGGTCATGTTTCGCTCGTGTTCGGGTGGGTGTCCCAGTCTGTCCATGTTCGGGGCGGTGGTGTCTGTTTCGGTTGGTGTTTTCAGCTAAGGAGGCGAACAGTGTGAACATGCGCGCATCCGCGGAAGCAGCTGCACCTTTCTAGCGGCTGATGTCAGATTCTCAGGATGCCAGATGTATAGTGCTAAGATACAATTCTTTGGCTTAAGCTGGCGGAAGTCAACGTAGAGCGAAGGCAGAGAGGCCGGGGCCTGGGGCCTGGCAGAGTTGCAGGACCCAAGTGGCGAGCCCTGACAACGCCCTAGTCACCGGAGAGCAGGAGAATCGTACCAAGTGTGCCCTACATAGATCGAACGGAGTTCCCCACCCCTGCAACAGAGATGCAAAGGCTTGACCTGTCCTTGATGGCCAATGCCTTCTCCAGCAGCTCCTGTTGCGCAACGTAGTTGCCGAGGTTGCCTTCAGCATCTGCCAAGTTCACCTCAGAGAGCCGGACCCACTGAGTTCTGTCGGTTCCACACATGACGAAGAGATGCTCCTTTCTATGCCGTCTAACCCTGAATGTCAAGATGCCATAGTAGCCGCAGCGTCGACATGCTCCGGACCCAACACAGCCCTGTCAATGCCCAGCACACGCTCCAAAATGTCTTTCTGTTGTTGGTAATTGCCCAGATTGCGGTGCGCAGAAGCCACGGTAGTCAATGTAGAACAGAGCTTCGAGCTTCCCACGCCAAATTCTGCTTCTTCAATACGTAGCGCTGTTTCACCTGCCTCCTTCTGCTTGTGGTACTCGCCGAGCTGTCCGTGCGCATCGGCCATCAAACCCAGCGTCACCCCGACTGTTATGTGGCTTCCGCCAAATGCCTTATCTTAGGCTTGGCTTTGATGCATCTCCACCGCATGCAGGCCGAATGCAAAAGTTGAGTCCTCAAAAATGGACCGAGGCATACCGAGGCGCTGAATCGTAGATTCGAAGGGCTCTCTGCAGCAACTGCAACTGTTGCCGATACCGGCCCAAATCACCAGAGGCGATGGCAAGACTGCACAGCACCCGGGCAGATGGCAGCGACGCAACACCATGTTTCTCCTCGCAGCATCTGAGCCCCGCGGTACCTGAGCCACTGCGGCTAATTATATGGGCTTCACAGCTCCAACCCTTGCAGCCGAGGGGCCCAGCGTGAATGCGGCATCGCCACTGTATGCGTGACCGCAAACAGAGCAGGCCAGCTCATGCCACGCGGCTTTGTGCAGGTAAGCCTGCAGGGCTCAGCTTTGCACGAAGGCTCCCAACGAACCAGGGTGGGCAACCATAACTGGCAACCTCTGGCAGACCCTTGTTTGCAAGGCAAAGGAACGCAGAATATCGTTGAGCTTGCATAGTCGACCGGCCTTGAGCAAACAGTCTCGATGAACCCATGCGGCAGATCCACGGCACAAGCAAGGTGACAGTAGGGAATCGCCTGAATGTCAGGTTGCGTGTAATGGGTAGAAATCTAAACCATCTCGCTGCATCAATCACAAAATCACTGGCCCATCCAATCTCAATCAAAGTCGAAAGGCAAGTGGCGGCTGCCCTCGTCCAAACAAATCCGGCACTGCTTGGCGGCTGGAGGTGAAGCCATGCTTGACAGGAGCTGTGGACTCAACGTCGCATTGTATGGCGTGGGTTAGTTTGCTTGCTTCGCTCAGCCATATCATAACGACAACTAGCAACATTCACCGCATCAGGCACGGTGCTTTTGCCTTCTAACTTCCTGGACCTCCGTCTCTCTAAGAAGACGAGAAGCATGTCCGGAATCCCCCGCCTGAGCCGGAAGCTTTCGATGTCTATGTCGCTCAGCCCGAAATGTGTGTTCAGGGCTAAGCTCTTGATTTTTGAGCTCGACGAAATGGTGCTCGAGCCAGAAGTCGCTAATTTCACAACTGCGCTTGCAACGATGCAATGACAGGCCTAGGCCTTGACCTGCCTGTCCAACAGCTACCTTCACGGGGAACGAAATGAGCACACGAGCAATCTAGAGCCACCCTGATCCTTTCCGGACATGTCATTCAGGATACGTCGCCGCTTGTGAAGATCTGGGTTAGGTATGTCGTCCAGCAACGACTTCAACCAATACAGGACATTATTTCTTCGTGTGGGCTGACAAGCAGCATGTAGCCCCGACTTCAAGACCGATGCCATCGTAAGACGCTGGCACTGTCCAGCTCCATGTTCGCCATTTCAACATCTCGTCTTTTGAATTTGCGTCGCATGCAAAGAGGCATGCAGAAAGCGAGACTCGCAACGCACTCGAGACTCCGCGACTGCTCCCGGCAGCGCAAGCGAAGATCTGGTGCGATAGCAGGGTCCCAGGCGCATGCCAAAAAGTGTTTGTGAGTCCAGCCCTTCAGCCGGCAACTTCTCCGGCTAAAGGGCGAGATTGGGCAAGTGATGTCTAAAAAGTAAAAAAGCGATCTGCTGCAAGACGAGCTTGCTCTCTTGCGCCTGCTGTTGGAGCTGAGCCCCTCAAGTCAGCAGCAGCAACTTCATGTCCCCACTCTGAAGAGCCTTCTTCGGATCCTTCCAAAGGCGCACCTTGCAAGGGATGCTTTGCAAGGAGACTGCGGAGAGAAGTGGAGAAACGAAGCAAGAGACCGAGAGCGACACTGTGCTACGCAAAACTCGATTTTATCATTTATCATACAAAACTATACTACACCATGCCCTGATCTACTCAACTATATTAGAGTAGAATGTTGTGCAATATAACACAACGTAACACTTCCTAGTATATTATATTCTATCACATTAGATGAAAAGTTTCTGACATATTATAAGTTAAAGTTACATAAAATAACACCATGAATTAGAATAGAAACGAATAGAATGAATAGATCATAGAAAGGGAATAGAATAGGAAGGCGCATTAAATTTTCAAGGACGTAATAGTATAACGGAATAGACTAGAATGGAACATAATGTAGTCGAATTGAGGAAAGAAAATATAACAAAGCGAGAGGCATCTGCCGTTGCTACCTGCGTATTCACACACGTAGGTGTGTAAGTGCACAAAAGGGCACCCACATGGAGTATCATGACATCATGACAACCATAAATAATGAACATAAGGTCATTCAAAACCGCACGTCTACGCATACATGCACCTCGGACTTCCTTCAACATGTTCATGAACATGACTGCCAGCCTACTTTGAGCCCAGCTTGCGCAACTGTTAAGTTCCTCGAATGTTTATGCATGTGCTTGGGTAACATTATGCAGACTGACATAGAAAAACAAACGGGCAACCCGGAAACAACAAGTTGATCTGCTTGTCTGGTGAATGTTGGCTCTTCTCGTACGACTGCCGAAAGTTGCAGGGGGGCAACAGAATTCTGCTGCAAGAGGCGGCCTGTCGGATCTGCTAAGATGATGCCGCCGTGGTGCCTTCGTATTCTGTGCAGCCTGGTCAGCAGCCATCCCAGACTTTGGGTTCGTGTCCGGCACGCCGAAGACGCGAGCGAGCCAGTACCGCGGTCCTGGCCAGATCTGCAAGGCTGTCCAGCATGCACAAGCCACCATCTGGCTGTGGCTCGAAGGCCTTCTCAAAGATATCCGTCATTTGAGGATGCAAGGACACGCGAGATGGGATTTTCGAAGCCCGTGTCCTAGCGTTGACAATGCAGTGACCTCTGCACGGGAGATCTCGAAGACTTCTCGGTCACCTTCGCAGCATTCGAGAGCGCCCTAGCTCTGCCAGTGGCAAAGCCCCGGGCCCGATGTGGTCGACTTCACCTCCGCGAAGCACACGTTCGGATCTCCTTTGCTGGGCAGCATACTGTCATGTGCCGTGTGCCTGTGAGGACACATCGGACTGGCCCAACCCTGACCGGCCCTGACCCGTCGTCCTTTTCCACGCAGGGCCGCATCCAGAAGTTCAGCCGCCAATTCGCCCTGGACCGATCCTCCATCGCTGCGGAGTGTAGGCAGGCTGCCCCCCTGACCTGCGGTTCGACACAATCGGCTGCTCGAGGGGCGACAGGTAGAGCTGCAAAGATTGCTTCCAGGCCGCTGAGGATGAGGTCGAAGGGGAGCCCGAGCTCGCCAGTTTCATTGACCCAGCAAACCTCTCGTGCCCCCCGAACTGAGGCATACGGAGGCATGCAGAGGGCACAAAGCGGGGGGAGCCACTCCTGGCCTCGAAGCCCTGCTGCTCTAAGGAGCGTTTTGCCAAGAGCTCCCCAACCTTCCCCACCCACTCCAGGCCCCCGGCTGAGCTGCCTGCAAAAAGGCAGCAAGCGTATCAACTCCAACTCAAACTTAAGCCCGGCCCGTCGCAAGCTGCATGCAAGCTGCCGGCGCCAGAGCCGGAGGAAGGCGTCGAAGCTTTGGCAAGCACTTCTTGCAGGTCTTCTGGCCGAACGTCGGTGTCTCCAAAAGTGCCGGTCTCGAGAGGCGGCGCGTCCAAGTCCAGAGCGATTCTGAAGGGAAACATGCAGCAGTTCATGCTCGGAGGATGTGATGCGACGTGCTGCTGCGCTTCCCAACTCACGCTTTGTCATCGATCGAAGCGCCTCTTCAGCGAATAGCCTCGTGGATGGCTCAGGCCTCTTTCCCTCCTGCTGGGGCGGTCCTGTGTTCCATGTATGAAACGTCGGCACGGACGCATAAGGCATAATGCCAACATGTCAGAGTCAGACTGCCTCGCCATCTCGAAGTCTGCCGACTTGCTTTGCGCGAATGCTCTGAGCCACGTCCCCTGGGTTGGCCTCGGGCAAGACCTCACTTTTGCGCCCATCGTCCGCATCCTGCAGCAACAGAGCAGTTCCGCGCCACCGGGATGCTCCGAACATGAAGTTCGAAAAGCACAAGAAATCCTGGGGCCGATCCGCTTGCTCTGAGCGGCCTGACTCGAGCAGCTTTCAGACATGGGCATGCTTGACTGTCCTTTCTGCACACTCTGCAAAAAGGGCCTCCCGGAACATCGAAGAGGAGGTTGCTGCCGTCGCTCCGCGTTGCGTCATAAGGCAGCATTGGAGGCAACAGCTCGTCCAAGCTCGGGGGCAACTCGCCTAATTCCTGCAAAGGACATTTTTCCTACGGATCTGGCATCGCAGTGGCCACAAGTGCCTCTTGCCAAGAGCGTGCGAGAACTGAGACTGAAAGACTCGTGCAAGGACTCCTTGTCCCTTCGTGCAGATTTCTCCGGGGCCTGGGCCTGCCTCAGCAATGCATTGGAGGATGTTGCATTCGAGATGCAAGGCCAAATCCCCCGGTGATCGTGTGCAGTGGGCCCCTGGCGTCTTCTTCGCACGTTTCTTACGCCTGAAATGGAGCCTGAGCTGGATGTCTTGTACAACTTGGTGCGCAGCAAGCAGAATGCGGCCAATTGCAAACTGATGCGGGGCAGGTGCGCTTCGTATGCATTTTGCAGCAAGTCTGCCGTGGACAAGTCCGATTCAACCCCGCTTCCCTGGTCTCCCTCATCGGAAGCATGTGCCAGGGCCTCGCGCCTGCAGGGCCAGCTCAAGGTTCATCGTCGACGCAGGAGCACATCCAGTGAACTTACAAGCGATTGAGGACTCCCACATATCGGACTTCTCCATGTCCTTGAACTCCTCGAAGAGCCTAGCATAAGAATATGGCCCACGCAGGCCGGACTTGGATCTGGATAGACATACTGACAGACAGCTCAGGCGCTTGTCCAATAGCCGCCTTGTTGATGGGTTTTCCTCAAAGCCGGCAGGCTCATTGCTGTATCTTGCAAGTTGCCACGCAACCTTTGTAGGATCAGAGCCACGGGTCCTCCGACTCACTCACGCCTTCTGTGCTGATACTTTCCGACGATGTCTCTGGGACTCTCTCGGAAGGTTGGTCCTGGCACTGACCTGAGCTGCGGTCAACAGATGCCACACGTTCACAACGCAATGTCCCCAGTGCATGCGCAGCTCCAGCTGCGTCTCCGATGGCCATCGTCAGCAGATTCGCGACAATCCACGCAGGCTCAGAGAGGCCGCGTCTGCCTCGGAGCAGGAACTGCCTCCCTTCAGAACTGAAGTTTCACACTTCGACCAGGCTTCTTCCTCGACGGAGCATCCCACCAGAAGCTGTCACATCTGCAAGCAAGGACCGGCCTTCGTAGCCATCATCTTTCGGCAGCTCTCCAGGTAGGCGCTGTGTGGCGACCATGACCAAGGCCTTTAAGCTGCGGAAAGGCCCTGACTTTGGTAGGGCAAACTTTAGCCCTTCCGGCACTGCACTTCGATTGGCGAGGCCACGGCCCTGGAGAGGCTTTTCGATCCTTGCTCAAGAGCTTCCACCACACCACCCTGAAAGGTGAAAACGATCTGCTTCTCCTCCGGTTGAGGATCAGCTCTCCGACGTGACCTCTCCCACATTCTTCACTTCTGGTCCTCATCTCCACTGTCTGCGGGAGCTTCGCCTGTGAATGCGATCGTCGTCTCCTCGAGCTGCTTGGTCCTCTTAGCTGCCATGAGACTTGAGGGCGCCAGTAAGTGTGCTTGAGCTGACCCTTGTTCGAGTCAGAATTTTTGAGCCTCCGCTTCTCCTCCCAACCCAGCAGACCGAGCGAAATTGACCGCTAGCCGATAGCGACTTCTTGAGCGCTGTAGAGATTGAAGGGAACAGGAGGACGAGGGGACGCACTGTCTTTGTTTATTTTCTTACTTGCTTGCTTGTTGGCTGTAGGGGCAGCACACAGCCCCTTAGTGTATTTCTTCTGTCTTTTAATGAGAGACTGTGTGCGCTGTCGCAACTCGGACATCCAGACGAGATCTGAGGGACTATTTACGTCCCCCGCCAGGTCCCCCCATACTTTCTAAGGCTTTTGCGGGGACATGAGAAATATAATATATTGATTGAGCGACAAGGTGTGATGTCACCAGCAGGCCCATTAGTTGCCGCATTAGGAACGCAGTTCTCAGGACAAGCGAACCACACCGCTCCTCACAATCGGGACTCCCGCGCCTTTGTGCGACTTGAACTCTGCAAACCTTGGCGGGCGCAAGCCAAGCAAATGCATACTGCATGCTGTGCAAGTCAGGTCTGCTCCCTTGGATGCCGCGACGTCGCTGGATTGACGCTTCGTCCATCTCAGAAGCCTCACGGCCACGTATCTGGCTCTCGCGGATGTCGAGACAATCGCCTGGCATAGTTTCGCAACACCGGCACACATCTGCCACGAGTTCGTACGTGTGGGATTGTGAAGGCACGTTGTAGATCTATGATCCAGCAAGTTAAGTCGTCAGGTGTAATGCAACGATTTGGACAATGGTATCCCAGCCTGGTGAACTGATAACGCGCTCGCCGGCTCCACTCGCAGCCTGAAACAGGGGTGCTTCCATCATGCCGCTCTTGATGCGTGGCAAAGAAGCATACAACTTCTTTTGCTGACATGGCCGAGGCTTGCGCCTGCCAGCGAGGCTCCGAAGCCGGCCGAAGATGTCAATACCGTCCAGCATATTTTCCTGTGGGGGGAATGCCGCCCTGTGCTTTATGATTTATGGTTACAAAGCAGATCTTGCCTCATCCTTTACATCTGAATACTTCTCTTCGGCAATCTGTATCGCTTCTGAGAGAATCTGCATCGTCGCAGCTCGTCGCTTCTCTTTCAACACCTCCTCCCACAGTCTGCATTGGACATGTAATCCGCACAAGGCCAACAACATCGAAGCATGCTGCCTCACAGGAGACGATGACTGCACACTTTCTCAGCGTTTCTTCCTTCTTATCCCAAGGACCTGGGTAGAGCAGACCAGGTCACTACCTGGGCCCGGCCCTCCCACATCCACAGCCAGAGCACGGATTCCACATCTCTGCAACAGTTTGAAGATGGCTGGAGCCCTTCGCCCTTTCATTTCGGGTGCAATGGCCACATATTGAAGTGCCCCAGCCGACCAGCCTTGAAGCGGCACTGCGTTTACTCAGTGGCATGCAATGAGCATACCAGTGCACACGCCGCCTGAAAACTCGTTCCGCTTCGTTTCAGCAGCAACGTATGCGAAGTGCTTCATCGGCTGCCAAGACCTGATCTGCAGATGGCTCATCACTTGAATGTTTCGCCATCAATAGAGCGCAAGTTTCGAAACAATAGTCACTCATACACTGGAGCGCATGCGCCTGACATTCAGCAATGCGACTTTTGTAAAGCCGCACAGTATCATCCAGGAAGGATTTCGTGCGTGAAGAACTTGTTGGCAACTCGACCACACTTTAGCTCAATGCTGTCGAAAGGCCCGTCTGCGGCCTTCAGAAAGCGGAGGCCCGATGTCGCACGACAAAATGTTGCCTCAGCAAGATGCTTTTTGTCAGGGCATGGCAGACGAAGATGCTGGTATTCGGGCGAGCGGCCAAGGAGTTAGACATGCCCATGTCTGTGGCCAACCGACTGTCCTCAGAAGACGGTGCACAAGGAACTCGACCTTCTTGCGAAAGCAAGCAAGAGCTATGCAAGTATGATCTCCACGCTGCTCTGGCAGGTCCTGTTTCTCCTCCTGCTCCTCCTCCACCTCCTCCTGCCGGTCCCGCGCTTCCCGCAGCTCAGTATCCACCACGATGCGCACTCTGCGCAGTATCCTCGGCTCACTGCTTCACTCAACGCAAGCTCCAGCTTGGGCATCTGGCACCCTGTGGCTGATGAAGCCAGGCATCTGGTTCATAAGGCCAGGGATGCTTTCCAAGCTGATCTTGGGCAACCCTTTCTTGGATGTGATGACAGAAATCCTCAGTATTTCTGGCAGCAGGGCAGTTTCAAAGGACTTCACGCTTTCATTGAACCTGGAACTGAACCTGGAGGCAACCCGTGGTGCTCAGAACTACAAGGTTTGGCCCGAGTGTTGCAAACACGTCGTATCGACTCTGTGGGCTCGGCCTCTTTGCTGAGCTTCGCTGCTCGCATACTGAAGCAACCTGAACCCATCACCTCAACAACTTGATCACCCAAGAAACACCCAATAGATGCAAGATTCTGCTCGTCCACAGCCTCCAACACCGCGATATAGTCTTCAACACGTAACTTGTCCTGACAGCAGGTTGCTTCACAGCTGGATCTTGATTTGCCTTAGCTCTCCGTCGCTTGGTAGTACTCTTGTCCTGCACATGGCGAGTTGCCAACAAGCCGAGGAGTCGATTCTGTGGTGGTTTTCCTTACAAAGCAGATCGACTTTCAAATGATCATGCCAGAAGTGCTCGGCATCGTACGAAGGCAAACAAACCTGTCGAGGTGCGTGTCCACGTGCTTGGAAACAGGGTCTTGTCGCCAAAATAGTAGTTTGCCACGACTCGCTTGTCCAAGCGCCTCTGCCCCGTAGCTGAAAAAACAGCTGGCTTCGAGCTACCATGTAATTAGCATTCGTGATATTCCTGCCCAGGCGGCTCACGCATCAGGTCGATGACATCATCTCCTGCGTTTTGACTGAAACCTTGGGCACTAGCTGAGTTGCTCTGCGTCCGGAGGCTTCTTAGAAGCTTACGAGCAAAGCAGACACCAAAAGCGCGGTGCAAGCAGAGAAGCCGTCCAGGCATTCAGCTCGATCCTGAAACACCAACCTCGTGTGGCAGCGCGTTCAGCCTGCACTGCTTGAGATCCATCACCCACTGCTGCCATGCAGCTGCTTCACTCTGTAGAAACTTCCGCGGTGAGGATCTTGAGCTCTTACCTCATACCAATCTTTGAAACCTCCATGGGGCCTTGGCGGGTGCAGGAGGTGTCAACTCGTTTTTGCCTGATTGGCGGATATATTCTCTCCAGCAAAGCGGCTTTGGATGGTTGGGTATGAAGACCCAGGGCTCTTCATTGAGAAAATCTTCCTTGGGCTTGTAGGTCGCATGTCGATATGGCGAGAACAACTGCAAGCTCTGAGGGGGTAGGGACCTGGCGAGATCGCCGTCCTGACCGATGAAAGCCGACACAGTAGCTGCTGAGCGTTGTGCTGGCTTCTCCTGGAAGTTCCACAGATTCGAGACATGCGCAAGGCATTGACCCAAGCCAATTCGCAGGCCTGGAGCTTTGCATAGATGGTCATCATCTCGGAAGTTCTGAGGCGCAAATATTCCTGTCAGGAGCTGCGGGTGAGAACGATTGAGTTCAGAAGGACCGCGATGAGGAAAGCGGAAGCCTGCGTAGTGTGCAGCCCTCGCAAGAGGCTAATGATGGTCTCGGCGGATGGGCTCTGCTCAATGCCCAAGTCCGGCCATGCCTGTCCAACTAGTGATTTTCACCACCGAGCAGATCACGTTCGAATGGATGCTTACTAATGGCCTCCGCGAGTGTAGAGACGCAAGGCAGAAAGGCAAAGCGCTTCTCGGCTTGAGTTGGTGAATCGCAGAGCCAGGCCATGTGCAACGGCACAGAAGCTCCGTCATGTGTCGGCAACCTTACGACGACGATCAAAGAAACCCTTCAAAACAACCCAAGTTGCTGATGCGTTCAAGTCACCAAGGAGAGTTGCAGAGCATGCGCCCCAGAGAAGATGGCCGCCTCTCTCCCTCCGCTTCCTGGGATCCTGGTTTCGGGTCAGAAGCTCCGACGCGCTGCTTCAGGGCCACTTTTTGGCCACTACCGAGCCTGGAATCCACAGAAAGTCTTTGTAGAATTCCCCATGCGGCGCGAGGAGCATCACGACTTCCTCTGCTAGCTTCGCATCCTTGCCGGCAATCTGGAGAAGCCTTGCCATACAGCCATATCACCTCTTATACTTTTGCAGCACATGAATCCGAGCCCACGAGCAGAGACGCCTCTCCAGTTCTGCGCTCGCCACATCTTTGAAGTCGATCTCCATGTGGAAGGCGGGAACGGCTCCGAGAAAAGTCCAGAAGTCCTCCCACTTCTCTCGTTCTTCCTTGCGTGCGACAGTCCACAACCAGCTGCGGTCTCTAGTCGACCCTATCTAAGGCTGTCAGAAGGCTTCGTCGTGGGGAGATTACCTTCTGCGAAAAACGAACCTATGATGCGCTTTTGTACCAAGCTTCACTGTTTGCCGCCTCCTCCTTCTCAAAGTACTGCTCCGACGGGGTTAGCCACTCCGTCTCGCTGGCCTGGGTCAGCTCACCCCTGAGCTGCGAACAAACTGGCAGTATGTCGCAGCTGTTCCTTCCAAGAATCTCCGTCGGCCAATCGTAATGCTGACGCCAAGGACTTAGAAAGGGATTTCAAGTGAAGTCCTTGTCCGGACTGCCCCCCAACCTCCAGAGAGCAGGCAGTCTCATCTAGAGCCAATGACAGAGTGAGGAGCCTTCACCATCTGTGACTCACAGGTGTGCGACGAGGCCACAGCCTTGGTCATGCAGACTACCAACACGCCTAGTCTGTGCCAGCTGGAGGACTCATGTTGAAAGGCATTCATTCGGAAGCCCATGGCATCGGCTCTCTACAGCTTCAGACATAAAAATGTCTGTCAAAACGCAGCAATACAGGTTCTTGGATGCTAGCACTGTACATGGGGCACAGGAATATGCCTGTGCGGGAGAATAACCTTCCAGGAAGCGTAAACTCTCTGCAGCCCAGCCACCCACCATCCGGTCTCCCTGACACGACCCGCCATCATCTCCTCACGGGAGGCACCGGCGACATGGACTCTTCTGCTCCCAGCTCTGCCAAACCCTGTATCGTTGATATTTATTGCACATCGAAGAAAACAGCTCAGCTAGTGGCATCCTGAGTACAACCGAATCCGAAACCGTTCTAATAGTTCGCACGTAACCGATGTTAGGAGAGGGCCCGTGGCCTGCCCCGCAGCCCTGCAGTGCACATGCATCGGTCCTTGAATCCTTCATCTTCGCAGATGGCGACGAGTTGCTTGAATCTCCTTCTCAAAGCAATGTTCTTAATCAACGCCCGTGAACGCTAGCTGGGCGGCGGGGTGGCCCTTGAGGACAAAACGCTGTTGAGGTTCCTTGTAACCGCAAGCAGTTGCTCCGCATCTGGTGCTTCACCTGCTGGCCGTCACCGAGAAATGCCGGCACGCGTCCGAGAACAGGAAAAGCTTCAGAGTGACTCGCTTCCGATGTGCGAAAATGCCATGCCTTGTGCCAGGACTGGTAGCAGCACGTTGTCAAAAAAGGCCAAGCCATCGACGCGCTCGACACCGAGTTTGAGCAAGAGCTGCTTGACCTGCGACTTGGACAGTTGGGCAGGGTTACGGGTCGCCAGTTTGTCATCAGCCGCACGTCGGCCTTTGGATGGGCGATGTGCCCCAAGCGTGGATCAAGCCTCTGCCCTTCTCCCAAGACGGCTTCCAGACCAGCCAACTCATCTGGGATGTCGTAAATCTTGCTGCCACTGGCCTGCGAGACATCACCGTTTAGATGAGAGAGCCGACACAAGCTGAGAGACAGAGCATGATCTCAAGCAGAGGAAGCAGTCCGAGACTCGCCTCTTGCTCTGCCAAGGCTACGAGACCGGCTTCCGTCGGCACGACGGCCAAGTGCCGCACCTCTTCGAGGAACTCTGGCTTCGCCTGGAGCAAACGGATTCACGGACTATGGAGAGAGCCGATTTGGCCTGGGCCGAAGAAACAGCCACAGCTTGCCTCGACAATCAAAAGAAGAAGGTGCAAAGTCTCGATGTCCTGAGCATCTGTCGGAGGACCCCAGTACCAGTCGAAGTTGAATGAAATGTCAGCTCAAGGCCCTCGCAGATGTCCCTAAAGCGATGGGCATGTCCGCATCATCTCGTTCAGCTGCCCGGCTTGCAAACGCCTGGAAAAAGGCGAGGCGCTCAACACTGTCCCTGACAGGAACAACTGCCATAGTATATCATAGTATGTCATAGTCTAATCATAGTACTATAGAATATGATAGTATACCTTAGTGGCCTTCGTGTGTTATAGTTATAGTATCAAAAACCATCTGTCTTGGAATCGAACATGCCAGGGCCTTCAAGCAGTCCAGGGCCACATCTGCGTCCAAGACCTGAGTCTCTGTTGCACAGCACTCGGCAAATCTGAGAAAATTGACAACAAACCTCACAAGCACAAGCTGACTGCCGAATGAAGAAGGTGTGCTTTGTTCTAGTAATTTCTTTCTTTCTGCAGGCAAGCTTCTGGCACCCCAAGTGCCTCTGCCACACGAGCTGGGAGCTTCCCAACTTCCAAATAGTGTCCCGCCTTCAATGCTTCAGGCTGCACAGATCACGGCGACCTCCTGCCGACTGCTACGATGTGTCATGTGACTCGACCGTAACCGCAGTCGAGCGTCCTGCGCAAGCAAAGGCTCCAGCGTCGGAAGATGCTCAGACAGAGATGCCTCGAACTAGCAACAAAAACCGGTGAGAGGGAGATGCAAGTTTTGAAATAGCAAAGGTGCTGGGATGCCCTCCGGAAGCCGTTCACGTACAGCATGTTTGGCTGTAGAAAAGCCAAGGCGGAAGTGACGTTCATCCTGAAGAATGGCTGAAGTCTGTGATGGCAGTGATGGTGGTCACGAAGCAGTCTTCAGCATCGTTTCCCCTAGTCCGACATGCTCATGACTGTTTCGACTTCTTCCTGCTCTGCTTCTTCAACATCTCCTTCGCATGGAGGCAGGTTCGCGTCGTCTGGACCTGACACAAGTAGGCGCGGTGTGCCAAAGGCATAGCCTGCATAGCACACAAGGACCACCAGAATGTAAGTGCCTGGGCCACCGCCAGGCACTCGCACCAACATGATTGGCACATTTCGTAGAGCGCGAAGGATGCCTGCATCGGTGCCCTGAAAAAAATTGACGGCATCGCCTGGCCCGGCACAGCTGCAGGAAGGGAGGCAAACAACGCACCACTGGGGCGACCTGTCCGGGGCACAGCGGTGTAGAGTGGCTGGAGAGCATCCGCCGATGCATCCAGGGCTGCTCTCAACTGCGAAAGCGGCAAGCCATGGTAACCTCCACTCCAAGCTTACAGTGGGAGTCTGCAGCCACAGCCCACGCCCCTCGCCTGCATCTTCGCCGCAGCTTCGCAGAACGATACTATGTTCCAGTGCGGCAGCTGCGGCTCGGGTTCTGAATGCTTCCGCTGCTTCGACAAATGCTGCTGGGACTTGCTCTCGAATCTGCCTGGGTGGCTGTCCACGAGCCACAACACGGCAAACTGTCTTCTTTGCAAGCCAAGTGTCTGATTAAAGACGTTGTCTGTGATCGCCTCCCTGGACGATGGCACTTTCCAATCTGCCTTCGCACGCACGCCAGCGGATCAACACAACAAAGCGGGGGTGATGCTTGAAGCCCCGAATCGGACCTGGACGACGAATCGCAATCCGTAGGACTGCAGCGGAAGCCAGGCATAGACTTTCTCCGTGCTGCCTGGGCGCCAGAGAGCACGCGGCTTTTTCCGAGCAGGCTACTCTGTGGCACGCAGTCAGATTGAAATATCGCGGCTTTGCGCCTGCATTCGCATCGAGACGGAAAGCCAACTTCCTGATGTCCATGTCCATTTCAAATCGGAGACTGACTTGCCGCACACAGGCCAGTGCATCCGCGCTGCAGCTCCGTCACCGACGAGCCGCTCTCAACATCTCCTTGAACCTCCACACCTCTTGTTTGTATCAACCATCGCTGCTCCTCCGACTTCGGTGATTCCTTCCGCGGCTGGTCACGCGGCGGCTCACACTCGCCCCCGCGCGGCCTATGCTCTTGCTAACAGCAAACAGCGCACCAGCCTCCGGGGACCAGGTGTTAACCTCGTCAACCTTCAGATTGATCTCCTAAAACAGAAACGGCTCACAGCGTCTCCGGTCCTCTGCCCCCCCAAAAAATAAAAGCAAAGCACGCCTCTGCGTTGGTCTGGCCCTCGGAAGGGAGGCGCATTTTGGAGATGACCCGCTGCAGGCCACTGTCTCCGTCAAAGGCCTGCGGACAATTCTCTTCGTTACATCGCTTGCAGCGACAAGTAAGAAGCTTCGTTCGATTGGTCTCCGACCCGAAAACCTAATTAGATTCAAACTATATCATGTCACCTCTGTGTTCGGTGTTTGGGAGTGCTGCCTGGTGCTGCAGCAGCAGCGGCTGAAAGCTTCCAACAAATCTTACGCAGGCCCAGCGCCTCCAGCGTCTCACGACGCTTTGAACAGTGTTCTGGACATCCACCAGCAACTCGTCTTCACCATGATATTCATCACCACCCCATGCACCATCACCCTTACGATCCTTGTGATGATGACGATGATGATGCCGATGATAATTCTGTTGCCAGCGCAGGCCGACTGTTCTCAGAATCGCTGCTTCCGCTAGTGACTAGTGCTTTAGTGCTTGATGAACCGATCCCGTTGCACAGTTGCGGCGTTTCGGTGACTACCCGAGCTCCCAAGGTAGGCGCACTGCTCGCAAGGATGCTCCTGGTTTCTGAACTGTTCCTGAAGCCCGAGGCCTCCACTCGTGCCACCTTGCGCAAAAATAGAAGCAGTGTGGGCTGCACGTCTTTGAGCGCACGCTTGCCCACATCTGGAGCACGCAGCCCCCGCTTCCGCAACGGCCCTGCCCAGGACGAGAGACCGGACCAAGCCGACTATGCATTCACGCCCGGCCTGAGATGCTGCTCAGGGGCAGGACGAGCCGTGTCCCACGAGGTGGCTTTGAGGCCGGCTTCAAGGGAAAGGGCAACAAGGAACCCAATCCTTGCCTCAGCCATCAGATGGACACTCGCTCCATCATCCTGGACAGCTATCTGCTCTGCGAGAGGCATTGCTTCAGCGTCGAAGTGGAAGTGGAAGCCGCGAGAGTGCAGAACAGGGGTGGCGGTAACGAGGAACACCTCACGTGGGTTTCGGATGCATCAAGCTTTTCCATTACATCTCATATCAGTGTCGGGAAATGCGGATCTGATGCATCAGAGAAGCAGACTTGAAGCCGATTCCCTTGGCCCCAATGAACTTCTTGTCAGTAGCCTGCTTTGTAGACTTGTCTATGTCACAGATGGCGATGACATTCTTCTCCTGCGAAACTTGCATGTCGGATATCCGCCGTACAGCCACACTCTTGGTATCGTTGCGCAAAATGGCACTTCTGTCCTGAAAGCCTCTCTCGTTGTGCTCCACAACAAGGAAAGCTTCCACAGCATCCCCCACACGGAAGCTGCTCAGCTCTTTGAACTTGTCCTTCCTGTCCATCACCAGGGAGGTGGCACCGAAGACCGGAAGTAAGTTCAAAGCTCAACCCTGCCTGGGTTCGTAAGTCAGGCGCAAAGTCGGCGTCTCGCCTGTTCGCACATCTGAAAAGTCTCTGCAGGAATTCTGCTGCATACGAACGCCGTCAAAGGATAGATGTCAGAGGCACCCTCCGGATACGTGCAGTCATCGCAGTTCTGAAGAAGCTCCAGCAAAAAGTGAGCCTGTCGGTGTCTGTCAGCAGCTTGTAACGGCGTAGATGGGAGCACTTAAATTACGGTTGTAGTTATCGGACTTCAACGGCCCAATGACACAATGCCAATCGCATGAGTACAAAGCAATCCCGCCTCACCACTGTACAGGTCTTCAGAAAGTCGCTTGACAGCTCCCTGCACTGTCTGCTGCAAAGACCGGACACCAGCATCTTCAGGTTCTTTGATCCACTCGCGCTTCTCCAAGTCAACAAAGTTGTAGTCAACCTTCCTGGTAGCGGACATCTTGAAGCAGCTGCTTTGCACACTTTCCTCCAGAAAGACCGCGTTTTGCGAAACTCAAATTAAATGCGGCAGTGCGAACCAAGCGGCTTCATGGCAGCTATCCGTCTGCAAACTTCCTGCACCATGTGCAGGGCTGCGGCTACTACACATGGCCACAAGTGCGTAATGGTCCAAGCAAGCGTGTCGGTCCTCGTTCTGTGCGTCCTCCTCTTCTGCTGCCAGTTGCACGGCCGACTCTTTGAAGGTGGAAGGCTGCTCCGTGACGGGGTAGCTCTGCATGCCGGCATCCTGAGGCAGAACCCCCGGCAGAAGCAACACGCGGCATTGTGCGGCATTGTGCGGCCTTCGCCTCCACTGTTGCGCCAGCAGCGGTTGCTGGAGCTGCTGTCGCTGCTGCTCGGCTGCCGGCAGCCTGGTCATTTTCTGGCCGCGACGGGTCGGCCCACTCCATGATGCCAAAGTGAAGGCCCAGCCGCTTCAGCGCCGAGCGAAAGCTAGGGACGCCCTCGTAGACACCGAAGACCAAGTTGAGTAAGGCCACAGGGGGCCGCTCCAATCGCATGTAGCCAGAGGCGATGATCTCCACAACTTCCTTCGAAGCGATACCGCGCGGCAGGGCTGCGATGGCTGTGAGCAGGAAGTGCTCCGGCTGCGTCTCAACAAAGGCCCTGTAGCCTTTCGAGACCTGCTCTTTTAAGAGTGACAAGGGCGCAGCCGTGCCCTCTCGCAGGACGCGGGCCAAGACGATGGCAGAGACGCTGCGACCGTCCACGGCTCCCAAAGCTTCTGCAAGACGCTCCGTCGAGGAGTCTTCGGCTGAGGGAAGGCGCAGGAAAACGGAGTGGCGGACCTCCAAAATGCAGGCAACCGCTCCTCTCTTCCTGGCCCGCGATTGAAATTCAGGCGAACGCAGGAAACTGCTGATGTCCATGGCCAGTGCTCCGAAATTTGTCTCCCACTCTGGCAGTGACTCCACCACATCGAAAAGCAAGGGACATGACAGTGCTGCCTCTGTCGCGCTTTCCAACAGCCTGTCCCTCTCTTCGCTCATCGCTGCTTGCTGTGCTGCTGGGAGGGACACATGTGAGCTGGAGGCTTGAAGCACCACATCCGTCGAATCTCCCTCAGGCTTGGCCTCAATCTCGACATCGCCGACGTTGTCGACGATGGCTTGAAGCTCGGAATTGGTCCTGAGTGGCATCAGTTCTACACCTTGGTCAGGCCACTCCCATCTCCGAACCCAAGCGACCTGAACACCTCACACAGCCGAGATGCAACACGCCAGCATAGTACTGCTGCAGAACATGCAGAACCAGCGTTGGATCCTGACAGGGTCTCTCGTGCCGTGCCTCAAGCCGATTCCAAGAAGGCTAGCAACCTTCGAAGGCAAGCCGCATCCGCAGCCTTCTGGTTGCCGCCATCTGCACGAATGCGACGGCACATGTCCTCGGCAGCGGCATGGTGCCAAGCCTAGAAGCAGCCTGAAGGCTCAGCATGGCTCAACAAACACAGCGGTTTCCCCTTCAGCACCTGCTTCCGGCCCAGAATCCTGCGCAGCTTTCTCGACATCCAGCTGTTCGCGGCTCCGGCTCACCAAGCCAGCAGAATTGGCAATCTGGTCGCTGTTTTGCCTCAGTTCTAGCTAGCAGCTAGTACATGCAACGAAAGCCAGGCTGAGTTCGTCTGCTCCGAGGCGTGGAGATGCTCACGCGAAATGAGCCACAACGCCTACAGTATGTCTTGCCTCAGATCTTAGCCTTCTGCAGGCCAGATACGCCAACCAGCTGCCAAAAGTGCCAAGCTTCATGTCGTTCCAATCCTTCTTCTGCTCTTCCTTGCACATGCGATCTTCGAAGTGTCCCAGCCTCGGCTTCAACTGAGCTACCTCCGCCAAAAATAAACCTCCTTCTTCTCAGAGGCATGCGCACCATGGCTTAGAGCTCGGTGCGACGGGCGGCGCTTCCAACAGCCCCCGCAGCTCCAGATTTGGCTCTCGCAGGATCTCCCTCAAGCTGCGCAGGAGACGCTTGCTGAGCTTCACCGCCATGTCCTCAGCCTCACCTCGCTCGTCTGCCTGCCAAGGTACAGCACCTAATTCGAGCACTCCCGTAATGGTCTCGGCAATGTTTGGCAAGCACTCAACACTTTTCGGATTGCATCTGCATGTTGCAGCAAGAGCAACGGGGGCCTCGTGCTTGCTATTGGGTGCTTCAGCAGGGACTTCTGAGAGATCAACTTCCCCGGCTTCTTGGTTACCTGCAAAACCGTTTGCTCTGCTGGCACCTTGCACGGACTAACATGTGCGGCAGGTCCTGGGGTTTCTTCTGCTTTTGCCAGCTGAAGCAGCTCAGCGAACAGCCAGCGTGCATAGTTTGTAACTCTATCCGCCAGTTTGAGGGTGGCATTCCCAATGGGCCAGTCCGGTCTCGTGGATGTTATGCCTGCAAGCGAGCTTGTTCCTTGAAAAGACTCACGCTCCGGCTCGCTGCCCACTGTGAGCTGAACCGTGCCGTAACCAAATTGCACTGAGAGGCTGCTCACCAATTCCTGCTGCTTCTCCTTGCTGCTCAGCTTCGCTAGCCTTCGTGCGCCAAGCAAAGCTCAAAGACCTGGCAATGGTGACGCAGGCACAGGATCAGTGCAGCTGTGATGCTCGATCAACAGCTCTTCGTGTTCCGATGGCAAACTCAGAGCAATCCATTCTGCAAGCGCTTTCGGAATGGTCCGTCGACCACCTTGTGGTGCCCAGTGAGCGACACACGGAAGAGAGTGGGATGAGATTCATGGACAGACAGGGGATGACGAACACACACAAATCATAGCAGAGCTGGCGCGCACTGCCACATGGTGACCTTTGCAACTCCAACTTCTGACCACTGCATAACTCCCGAAGCTGAACCCATGCGGAGGCTGTATGCACTTTGGAGTTTTGGAGGCTCGTAGACCCTGCCCGGTTCACAAATGTAAGGGAGGAGGGGCCTGCGAATCTGAGTGTCTAAATTGCATCCGTTTCAGTATGTTCATCTAATTTATCACAGGTACTAAATTTACTAAATGGCTTCAACACTGTCTGTACAGTACGAGTATCACAAACAAATAGCCATCATACCAACACTTAGCACTTATCATAGCAATGCAATTTTAGCAACAATGGCCACTATCATCCTTATTTTTATGTTCATACCGCTTACATGCATCATTTTCAGTATCATCATGCTCAAAACCATGTTATGGGCGTTTGGCTTCATTTCAATCCACTATTTTTTGGCTCGGGTACAACACCTTCCGGTAAAGCTGGGAACTAGATTCAAGATTGAATGGCTGTGAAGGGTCTCGAAAGAAATATCGGGTGCCCACCGGCGCAAGATGCAGACCAGATTCGGGGCTAAGACCACGAGCTTCAAACAACATGCAATGCCCACAGCACAGCAGCCTAGGTGCAAGTCAATCATTCGTGAGCCTAGCCCAAAACAAACCAGTCAGACGATTGCATTCCGTAGCTTGCCAGTCACGACCATTTGTGTAGCTCACCAATGCCGGGCAAGCTTGGCGCTTCTTCAGCAAGGCTTGGGAGACTGACTAGGTCTCCCGGCCACGAGGGCCACCCCAAGTTTGGCTCTCTCTTTTTCTCTCGCTCTCTTTCCTTCTTTCGTTTGCCGTTGAGATGGGGCCAGAACGACGCAAATCGTTAGCCTGTTGAAGAACTTGGTGCTGATGAGGCGCGCACCTACTCCCTGGCAAACCTCGCTTTGTCTTAAGAGTCTTTCTGATTACTCTTTCAGCCTCTCTACGAATATCCCACTCTGTCACGTCACTCATGTTCCACACGCACACTCCGTCTGTTTCATGTGCCCATCACCTGCCCGCATGATGCTCTTCAGCTCAAACTTTGAGTTGACCATGGCAGGGATGATCTGCCCCAGGAAAGAGCCATCTTGCACGGCAATGCCTCAGGGTTTAGCAATGCATGTAGTTTAGCATGACAGCTGACACTTAGGAGCCTGAGCATGAGCCCACCCCACGATTCTAAGTCGAAACGTCAAACAGAGCCGATGCAAACCTAGTTCGCGAAAGTCATCGAAGTGATAAGCTTCGGCAATCTTGGATAAAGCCGCCAATGCAGATCTCGTCCTCGCGCTGGACAGCCGTGTTCCTTTGCCCAGTATTGAGAGCACATCCGCGGAGAAAAAATATTGCAGGATCTCCCTTCCGCCAATCGCTGGGAAGCCCTGGGGGATGCTGGGCAAGTCGTCCAAGCCGAAATGATGCTTCACCAGCGGGTGGAATTGCAACTTGCCCAGTCCTGCATCTTCGAAGCTGCGTTTGCCCTTGAACATTGGGTGTGACAGAATGTGCATCTCCAGATCGTGGATCGTGAGAATCGGCTGGCTCAAGAGGGACGTTCGAACATAAGATGCGACAAGGAGAAGTCTTGTGGCAAAGCCTGCCAGGATGTCCCCGACGTGCGGATCCTTTAGTAGCTCTTCCTGCAAGAATTGCCTACGACTTCCACAACATTTCCTACGACCAGTTCATGAACGTTCGGCAGATGCGTTTGATGACCGTCCCAATTGTGGCAACTGCGGACGAGCTTCTTCTGAGATGTCTCGGAGAGCGCAAGCAGAGTCAATCTCCGCAACCAGCAGCTCCGGTCTCCTTAGTGTTGAGGTTGACAGCCTTAACATGCTTCTGCCGGCAACTCCTTTAAATTCGGCGACTCACGGAACACATGATCTGAAGAACCGTACGCTCAACGGCTGCCATGCGTCAGAATTCCATACCGCTCAATGCATTTCTCAAAAGCACTGGCCAGCTTCGTGGTGTCGGACTCTGTGGACGTCTTTCCCAAGCTGCCTTTGAAAAGCACCGGTTGCTTCAACAGAGCTTCTGTGATGTCGGGCACTGTCTTTCTCAATCGGCCAGCAAAAGTGTCAGCCGTGACTGTTGATGAGTCTGTGCTTCCTTCTCGCTGGACGCCATCTGACAGCTTCGACAATGATGCTGGGACTGCATCGTCGATCGATGGCTCCGGCCAGGTTGGTCGCTGGCGGATGGTTACTTTAAAGCCCGACACACAAAACTTGTCTGCATGAAGGGCCAGAATCTGCTGAAGGCCTTTCGTTTCTCGCTTACTCTTGGGTAACAGCTCGTTTGCATATCTGCCAAATTCGTCCATCTCCACGCAGATGCTGTCGCCATCGCTACCGAATTTCTCTACCAAGCAAAACACCAGCGCATCATCCAGGCTTTGCACTTCAACGATGTCGACGATGCCAGAGTCCTGTCAAGAGTCAGGCAGGTGGTCAATTCCTCTTGGCAGCACTGCCGAGACTTGGGTGCTTCGAGAGCCCCCAGAACTGCCTTAGTGTGGGTGTCGGGTGGGAAGATTTAACCAGGTCAAGGACGTTTCATGTGTGTGGCCCAGCTATTGAGCTCGAAGCCATCCCACCCATGCAAGCGGTTCCGTACCGTTGACACGCACATTCCGTCCTCTCGCTCCAGGAACTCACACTTGGAGAGCACATCTTCAGCTTCCAAATCATTGCTCATGCACAACAGCTCGAAATCTTGAAATGTCATTACCCTGGCGGCATGCAGGCAGGGCCTGTTACCCTCTCTGAATTCTTGACATGCTCATGCTTCATGGAAAACCGGCGCAGCAAAGGACTAGGGCTTTTGTTGAGTGTAAGCACATCCACCTGGATTCTGTCCCCAACCGGGAAGCGAACTCAAACTGTTCTAAATATCGCACCTGTGACCTTTCTGCAGAATCGCCGTTGCGAGCATCAGCAGACCATCAGTGTTGCGGATGCCCTGGTCTTTTGCAGCTCTCCTGCAATCGCCCGGCATCTCAAAGCCAAGATTTCAATACCGAAGCTGTGGTAGCCTGACCCCAATACTTCCCATGATGAGGCCTGGCAGCCTTCTGCTTGCCTTTTTTCTTTCTTGAGCCCTGTTTCTTTCTTGAAGAGGACCTCGTTCTGCGGACTGGTAACCCCTTCGCTGGTAAATGTGGAACTGCACTGCGAGACAGCAAGGCGAACAAGCAAAGCAAACACCAGGTCAGCGGCTCATCATCGTCATCGGCCTGCGTGGCAACATATGCATAGGTAGTGTCCTCGTACGTCTCGAGGCAATTATGGCAAGCATGCAAAATCAGGTTGACTCGCGATCTGTACTAATACATTGACATGCCTGGCCTGCAAGGCTGCTAACACACCATCTCTTATACTCGCCCGGGACCTGCACGACCGCCTGCACCGATGACAAATGACGACGTGGACGAACCGGCAAGATTTTGCCTGCCTCCGATGGTGATGCCAAGCTTGAACAGCCACGCAGTATAGCGGAAGGGTGACGCGGGACGTCGGCGAAAGAATGTTGACCGATGATTGCCCATTGAGCAAACGAGCCTCAGCTGGAGGGACTGGAACTGAACCAATGGGGTTGGTGTGAGACGTCTTTCGTTGCACTGCGGCTCAGCCGCCTTCATGGGAGAGTTTGCGCGGGGCCATCTTTCCGGAAGTGGCACAGGCGCACATGCTTTCATGCTGCATGCAGCCCGGCTACAACTCCTAACGTGGCCTGTTCGAACAACGGCTGGAGAAACAAAGTAGAAGCGCATAATGACGCAATCCAAGGCTAGCTTCCTTGAGGAGTGGTTCTAATTGGGCCAAGCTACAACTTGTTGTCTACCCAAGGCCCGCGCCCTCACAGTCGTGAGACTCAAGCGACGAATTCCTGTTGATGATATAATTCCTGCATCACCTGAGGAACCCTAGATGTTGTTGGTGGCATGGTTTGAGCGGTCACGTAGGATAACAAATCTTCCTGCAGTCATGTGTTTAAAGTACACGAAAAATTTTTTGACATCCCTACTTGAACGGCGGCCGAAAAGCCGTCTTGTAAAGACTAGTGTGAGAGTAGCATGTCGCTTGCATGTTTTTGCAGTTGTCATACCTGTGCAGTGCGAACAGATGGTCACGATGGTCACCGATGACGTGGCTCAAGATGCACAAATCAATCGTGCCAAGGGTTTTTTGGGTTTCGGGGCTGGGGCCCTGAAGCCTTTGAGGGATGCAAGGGGATTACAATCATTTAGATGACCTACCTTTCAGCGTCCGTCAAACTCTGGCCCGGTATCGTGATCAGGCTTAGTTGGAGTCCGTAATTCTCCACTGACTCCTGAGCATAAGCATCGACAGCAGCAGCCTCAGCAGCATTCACTTGAGTTGGCTACCATTCGGCATCCTGGAGCTCCCACCGCAAGTCCGTCAGAAGATTATGCTCACATCTTTCAGATTTCAACAGGTGATGAGCCCAAACGTGGCGGGAAATCAGGCGACAGTCTTTGCTTCAATAGCTCAGTGGAACATTCGGTTCCCAGCAGACGCTTTGCAGAGTTATCACATTCGCCAGCCGTTGGACGAAACCGTTCAGAATGATCCCAAACAAGCTGTAAACTACGTGCATCTATTGCTGCAAGAGCGTACAGACATGCTTGGCAGAGGATGCGAGGATTTGCTTTCTGCTGTCCAGAGACTGAGAGAGGTAGCACACCGCAGTGAGGAAACTCTTGAGGCACCCAGCAGGGTTTCACGAAGCCAGAGAGATTACGGATCTTCGTGGTCAGATCGCTGAGATGCAACAACATCTTAGTGAACATGCAACTGCCACAACGGATGCAAGTATGGGTCAGCGTGGCAGGCTCGGAGCTCACATCGTTAACTTGGAAAACAGGTTTGAGGAGATGAACCGTGATCGACTTCAACTTCAGGGTGTGCAGCAAGATATGGGCTTTCTTAAGCAACATCAAGAGCAGATGATGTCAATGCTTGAGTATTTGGGTGCCAGTGGCCAGCCACAGCAATCACAGCCGCATGACGCTACTACTTCAGACAATTTGGGGCCTACTATGGCTTCACATGCTGAGGTGCCGGTGCTTGCTATGATTCCCGAGGATACTGAACATGTGGAACAGCCGATGGTGATGGCTCAGGACGCAGAGCTTGCTGAAGCGGAACATGAATGGTGGGGATGGCCAGCACAGCCGCAGACTGGAAGCAATCCATTTGAAAGCATGCCGTGGCCTACCGTCACAACACCCCGTGAACTTCCCCAAGAGGTGAGAGCGCCGAAACTTGAGGAAGCAACGGATAATCAAGTAATTACCGCAGATCGTTGGAAGACCATTTCGCAATTGCATGCCTTTGATCCTGCATCCGGAAATGCTTCACCATAGGAGGTGGGGCTGAGATATGAGGTGTGGAAGAAGCAGGTGTTAACGACTGCACTGCAATTTCGCCATCGTTTGCTGAGTATGTCAAGAAATGTTTTGAGGAAGGACTCCGTCGACATCACGAGCAGATTCAGGGCAGCCGTGCCACACCTTTGCAGCCTGTTCAGGGTGTCCTTGCAGAGTTTGAAGCTCGGTTTGTGATGTCATTATTGACGATTTTTCCCTTTGGCATGAGTCGGACGGGTCCGCCGCTCGTTTCAGCGGTTCTCCTACCCTACAGGCATCTACAGGCCGCGTAGCGGCAGGCGGCTCGGCCTTGCGGCGTCAGGAAGGTCGAGCACGCGTTCCAGCTCTGGGGCCGACTGTCGGCTCGCGTGGAGGGGCGCCGGCCACGCTGACCCGAGGGCTGTGCTCCTTGTTGCACCGACACGGCCTGCATGATCCACCAAAGCCTGGCCCATGCCGACGGAGCGGCGCTTGCACACGGACGAGGTCTCGGACCAGCTGGTGCGCNNACCGTCCGCCGACCTCACTCCCGAGCGCCACGAGTTGTTGGGTGCCGCTGTTCAGTTCCGGGTACGCGGCTTTCTTTCGGCGCTCGGCGACCCGAAAGGCGGCTCCATCGTGTGCAGCAGCACAGGGTTGCGGGAGACCTGTGCGTGTCAGTGGCGACACGAGTGTGGCGTCGCAGCACAAAGCCCCACCGAGAGGCGTCGCTCCGTAAACGTCATCGGAGCGGACGTTAGGTGCTGTCCTTTTCATGAGTCTACCAGACAACATCAAAACTCCAGCACTTGAGGGTGACAATGCCAATGATGACATCAGATCAGTATCCCCCCAAGTGTGGGGGGGTCTGCCTCGGCACCGGTCAGTTCAGGGACCTTGTAGGTGGGTCTGGACAGCTTGTTACCAAGTCTCACGGTTCACAACGCCGGGCCCTATCCAGACCCGGCAAGGTTCTCTCTTTGGAGGGAGGGGGTTGGCCGGTGAAAGTTGAGCGAGGGGGCAGTAAATGAAAATCTTTTTCCTGGCAACGTCTACATTCGTGCTTGAGGATCTGTCGTTCATTCTCCCAGTAATGTCATTTGAGCCCCTCGCATCGGAAGCTTGCTTGAAATTTATGCCAATCTGCAAGCATCTCGCCTTCTAAACGATGGTGATGGAACGCATTGGAACATCACAGAGCTTTCTGAGTGGAACATCACAAATCATTGCATGGTTCATGGCTTCTGGGTTTATAAAGTTTCCAAATGTTTCTGCTTAAGGCTCTTGGGTTTTGGATTTCTGGGTTTAGGGTTTCTGGGTTTTGAAGTTCCTGAACTCAGGGTTTCTGGATGTTCCTGGTTTTCGGGTTTCTGGCTTCAAGGGTTTAGGGTTTCTGGGTTCGGGGGTTCAGGGCTCAGAGGTTCTGGGTTCCGGGCTTCTGTGTGCGAGTTTTTGGACGCCTCTGGGTTTACAGTTTTTTTTTCCTTTCGGATTTGACGCAGGGTTTGGCGTTTCTCGGTTTCCGGGTGTAGGTTTCCGTGTTCAAGGGTTTAAGCCTTCGGCGTAGCAGCAGTAGTTAGTAGCAGCAGCCGCAACCGCAGCCGTAGCAGTAGCTGCAGCTCGCGCAGTATTAGCAAGTGGAGGCCCAGCAGCCAGGACGCGACCCGTTCACCCCCCCTTTCTCCCTTCTTCTATGGTGACACGCTACCCGAAAGGGGGAGGAACGGGTCGCCGGAACACTCGCTGCCCCCCCTGAGACCCACACAGTCCTTCTTCGAGGCAAGGCCCGAACACTTTAATTGCCCCTCCTCCCTAAACGACAAGCGCAGCTTCGCGGATGCGATTCGGTCTCGGATCGACGCTATAAGGCTTGGAAAGTATAGGGGCTAAGGGGTATTGGTTTTGTTGTAGAGTTTTAAGACTTCTACTTTGGTCCAGGATGTAGGGGATTGCGGGTTTAGGGTTTCTGTGTTCAGGTTTCTGATTTGAAGCTTCTGGCTTCAAGCGTTTGGGGCTTCTGGGTTGAAGGGTTCTGGCTTTAAGGCTCCTGAGTTTAAAGTTTCTAGATGTTTCAACGTTTGAGGGTTTAGAGCTTCTGGGTTTGGGATTTCTGGGGCTTGGGGTGTCTGCGTTTCTAAGTTCAAAAAGATCTCAGGTCAGGGTTTTTTTTTCTACGGACCTTTTTCCGGCTGCCTAGGGTGCCTGAGCTCAGGTCGCTAGGGCTACAGACAGCTAGCTACCGGCAACCTACGGCTACGGCGTAAGCCGGATGTTTCTGGCTGTAGGCTTTCTGGCTTCAGGGTTGTAGGGCTTCTGGGTTCAAAGCTTCTGGGTTTAGAGTTTCTGGACGTTTCTGTTTAGGGCTCCTGGGTTTTGGATTTCTGGGTTCACTCTTTGGGGTTTCTGGGTTTGGGATTTCTGGGTTTTGGAGTTCCTGAATTCAGGGTTTCTGACTGTTTCTGGCTTTCGGGTTTCTGGACTGAGAGGTTCTGAGTTTGGAGTTTCTGGGCGCGTCTTGGTTTATGGGTTTAGCGCTTCTGGGTTAGACGACCCAGAGTACAGGGGAAGCGTCGTTTAGGAGAGACAACAAAATTCTTCAGGAAGCGCATCCTCCATTTCTTGTGTCTGACAGCATGCGGAGCACGTAAGGGTCAGTAAATGAATTCTCATTTTTCACCCCCCCTTCCCCCAAAAAAAACAACAAAATTTCTTGACAATGTTTTGTATGCGAAATTACTATATTTTAGGAGGGGTCTGGATCGACCCTTGCAAGGGTTTGGACTGCTCCAGGCAGCACCCCAGACCCTCTGCCAAATTTGCGCCCAGAGCGGGGTCTGAAGTCTCACCCGCACTTGAGGGGATAGATCAGTGAGGTTGATTGAAGAGATGCTCTTGCGTGTCCAACCCGGAGGACTTGAAGAGCAGTCAACTTTGATGCGTTTCGTTCGAAGCCTTCTGCCCGCGGCATCAGCGAAGGAAGCACTTGACTTGATTCGTAGATGGAAGTTGGCTGAAAAGCGGATTGCATCACTAGGACTTCCAGAGCCAGCAGGTTCTAAAGTGTTGAAGGGCATTGGAGTTCTTTTGGGAAGGTTGGGAAAGAAACATGAACAATTGCGTATGAGGCTCGCACTCCTTCGATTGAATCCGGATGTCCAGATGGGCAAGCCGGGAGCAGTTGAAACCATTGTTGGTGGACCATGCTGGCCGTGTCGGTGCAGCACGCCGTCACGAGCACGGCCCTCTGGTCAGCTTGGCCCGCGCCTCTCCACGCGAGCCAACAGTCGGCCCCAGAGCTGGAACGCGT